GATTCTTTTCGTTTTCGTGCCTTGTTCATAGAAGATCTAATATCGTTTCATTTGACCGGATATTTTCATGACTGACGATAGTTTCAAGTAGCTACTAGACTTCCACCGGGTTCGATATGGTGCTTGAAGTTTGTTGGATGTGTCAATTTGCGTTTCAACATGCTTAGAAAATTTCAGCTCCTTGTCGACATAAACTCCGAGATCTTTTTCCACACTAGACTTTTCAATCATTACTCTCTCGTTGCAACCATGTCTTCTCATACTGTAATCTTGCTGTTCATTGTTCATCCCGAGGTGAAGTACTCTACACTTGTCAGAATTAAACAGCAGCTGCCACGTATCAGCACAGTTAACTAAACTGTCAAGATCATCTTGCAATTGCACTTTATATGACGCATCCTCCACTGTATTATAAACTTTTGTGTCGTCGGCATACATGTAGCACACGCTGGACACTGCTTCTGGCAAATCGTTTATAAAAGCAACGAACAAAATAGGCCCAAGAACGCTTCCTTGTGGCACGCCACTGCGCACTAATACCCAGTCTGACACGGTTTTGTTAATACTGACACGTTGTCGTCACCCTACTAGAAAATCTCTGATCCATTGGAGTACATTTCCCTCAATTCCCAAAGACTTTACTTTACGCAACAGCCGCTCATGCGGAACACTGTCAAATGCTTTGGCAAAATCGAGGTACAATGCATCCATTGGCTCCCTTTCGTCCAGCAGGCGAGTCCAATCGTTCAACGTAGATAATAAGTTAGTGGTGCAGGATCTACCGGCGATAAAACCATGTTGACAATCTGATATGATATGGTGAGCAGTCAAGTGATCGATAATCCTATCCCTCATGCACAACAGATTACATTTGCTTACAAACAACACTTGTCAGACTGGCAGGGCGATAGTTGCCGGGGCTGCTTTTGTCACCTTTTTTGAACAATGGTGTTACTTGAGCTTCTTTCCAGTCGGACGGCAAAGTTCCTTCGTTCAAGGTTCATTGAAAGAATACTGTCAATGGGCCGGCCAGAACGGTTGCTAATTCTTTGAGCATTAATTCTTACTTAATTCTAGTGAAATTCTATAATAATCTATTGAAAAAAACTAATAAGAAAATTGTAAATAAAATGAATTTTCTGGTCTTCAATGAAACCTGCTATACCTGCTTCAATTTTGCCAAACTATACTAGAATAGAATTATGTGTATATAGAATTATTTTGTTTTTTTGGCATTGGGTCCTCCTGTTGTTGAACATTTTCGCGATTCGTGAAACCCAAAGCCAAATTGTAAATTATAACAAATCCGGGCTACTATGTATATTTATCATTGACGTCACTAATGACATCCAAGGAAATGTTTCTAAGCGAACGGAAAATTTTACCATTTCCAGCCTCTGCTGGGTGGCAGTTTAATGTTACGTACCCAGGGCCAATGTCAAGGCTCACTATAATGGCGGCTGATGGTCGCCATTCTGGCATGTTTTTTTGCGACTTGAACTATGCATGACTTTAACACGTGCGGGCAAAATACCAATTCATATGTTATAATCGGGCTGAAATATACTGCTATAAATCTAAGGAAAAAATAGTTCTTCAGGCCATGAAACTTTTTGCCCATGACCCGACTAGATATGGTGCGTCCAATGTGTGAAATTGTGATAATATTTATTGAATTTTTGGGGAGCTCAATAATGAACGAATAAGATATGATATGGATAAATGTTGTCCTTAAACATTTTCCTACATGTTGTCCGTAAATTTCTATAATTAAGTTAAAAAGACATCAACGTAAAATTACATCGATGAGGATATTCAAGGAATATGACTGACGATGATCAGCTGAAACCATTGACTAGCTAGAAAAAGCTAGACGTTGTGAATTAAGCAGTTAATATGGATTAGGAACGAGAACATTTAGGGAGACACCAACATTCAGGTCAGCGATGAAGAAGCGAAGGTCATGTTCTTGTTTTTTACAGTTGTTGTCAAGAGGAACAAATGATAAGGCAGATTTTCATCAAGTCTATATAATTTTTTTCTCCATAGCAGGCAATTATTCATTCTCTTGGCTAAGTCTAATCAATATTTGGAAAGTGACGCATGATAAATTTTATACAGCAATTGCCATCGATTCGATACACCACCAATGATGGATAAAAAGTATATACTACATGATTCATAACTGTGAGAAAAAAGTATGTTTTTTGTATATTATATAATATATTGGTATAGTTGGGCAGAAGTTTTTCTTTTATGCAAGTTTTATTGAAGACCATGCAGAGGGTATTTCTCATTAATGACTTTCTTATTAATTTTCTCGATGCTGCGAACTAGGCATTTTGTGGGATTTGAAAGTTCGAATATAAGGTTTCCAAATGACATTTTATTTGACTTTACGACGTTTCGAATATTCCATATGCATTATCAAGTAAATGAAGTGTTTTACAACGCTTGAAATTGAAAATCTTGGAATGACAATAGTACGTACGAAAGGTATAGTGGATACAACACAAAATTGAAACTTAAAATTACTCCGAAAACAACTTCAATGTCCTGACGAATCCGGTAGTTTGTAAGTTGATAGCTGGGGACTCTTCCTTGATGATGAGAGACTCAGCTACCCAAATAAAAATTAAGGGTGGAACACCGATGATAATAGGTGGCGATAGTAGATTATTGGTGGCGTAACGGTGGGTGGCCAGATCTGCCGAAAATCGACAATAAAACACCAATAAATCGAAAGAGTTTCGAGTATAGGTGGGAGTCGTCGATGAATCATCGAAGATTTGTAGGGTCTGAAACATCTATGGTTCATTGCAGACAAATCTCTTGTGAGCCACCGATAACCGTTTGCCCAAACTGCACAGTGCACGAAGGTACACTATTTGCCACTGTAATTTATCCAACGTAGAAAGGTGTTTTTGGGTTGCAGGTCATTCAAGATTAAGACGAAACCATGACTTGTGCTTGGCGTTCTGACGTTCGTTCTGCGTTCTGAGACGAAACGTTCTGTGTGTATAGCATTTAAGATTAAGTTCTGTTAAGAAAATTTAGCAAAAATTTAGCGTGACTTCAGTAGGTACGAGTAAAACTAACAGATAGAAGCAAGGTGTTCACAAATTTTCCAAACCAAAGTGATGCCACTGGGCATGTATCACACTGCTTCTGATATAAATTGTCCGCAGAACAATGGAAAATTTTTGTCGCAAAAAATAGTTTCTCAAAAGATGACAGCGAATCCAATTTTTTATGTTCACATGAGATATTGAGTAAATTTATTACGAATTTTGCGTATACGCCAACTGGCTGTGTTGGAAATATTGCGATCAATTCAGACTAATTATTGTATCATTAAGTATAAATTGTATGATCGATTATATTGACAACATTCTCAAATCGCCCCATTTATCTAAACTCTAAAGCCACGTCGACGTAGTCTGTAAAGGTAAGGCATCTCTAAAGCACAGCGGCTCGGCGGCTCCCAAGCACAGCGAGCAGTCGAGTAAGCACTTGGGTTTACGGGAGTCGGCGTTGAGCTTTCAACTAATCTTACTAATCTTTACTATGACCTGCTTCCCACTAATCTTTACCATGTCCTGCTTGAAATATGTGCTTTCCGGGTTATTTTCTAGTCAAAAAAGTATCATTTTTACGCAGAGGGATACGAATAAAAATTCGTCTTTCTATCGCTTACTCCGATAGTGGAATTTAATTATTTAGGGAAATTTGCTTAAACAGTCCGATAATTATTTCGATTTTAAGTCTAAATTTATACTAGAGTGGTCCTGGTATCTTTTGGACGCAAAAGATTAAAGATTATGCAAGAGAAAAATAGTGACACGAAGTGGAGCAGGTAATTCACGCCTGAAATTTCAAAATAATCGAGTGATATCAATTCTTATTTTACGCAAGAATATTCTTGATAAAATATTTCGAATCAAACAGCTGTCAAAATTGGTGTAATGTTCACATTATGAAACTTCGATGCTTATTAAGCATTTTTCCGTAGCCTTTATTCTGAGCTGAACCATCGTTCGTTACGAATAAATGGAGTTTGTTTCAGTGGCTGTTTATTTGAATGTAGCAGCATGTTCAAATAAAATTGTTGATGGAACCATCTAATCATCACGGTGGTAGCACTAACTTCTGTCATTCGATGAAATTAATACTTGCAATACTTCAGGCAAATATTTTAAAATTACTATGGAGCCTAGTCCTCTCCTATAGCTCAACGGTAGAGGCTCTGCTTCGCGTGTGGGAGACCGGAGTTCGAATCCTGCAGGCAGGGAGTTTCTTCAAATCGATTTCTCACGAGGTATGTGTATGGTACTCTGAAATTTGTTCCTGCTACATGTCTGACATTGTTACTTGTACTATCATGGTAGATTATGTACGTAGCCCTTAGAATGGTGATTGTGTGGAACTATGTCAGTTAATACATACGCATCGGAACAGAAACTAAATTTAAAATTTTTATCGACTTCATTTTGAAAGTGGCCACCGTTGGCTCATCAATGTGCCACTGGTGCCAATGGGTAGTTATTGACGGAAGAAGAGCTTTACTGGTAGGGGGGCCATAGGCAGGTTATAGGTGTGGTAAAGGTGGTGCACGCCACCCTTAATTCACTGTACAAATCATATCTGCTCCACCTAAGGCGTCCGCCTATAGCCATCATTAAAACATAGGTGCTCCACTCTTGATTTTTATTTGGGTATCGCCAGTCTTGCAGCGTCGGGGCACCGCATAATGATGCTCGTGCCGGCTTCCAGTGCCGCGCGGGTGATGGTCTCCCCGTGGGCATCCCTCATGTGGTTCTTTCTAATATAATATATAAATAAATATATTAGTGTTAAAAATTAATAATATATCTATAATATATATATATATATATATATAACCCAACTTATACCTATGCCATTCAGACGTTCGTACTATACTTAATAATTAGACCATCACTTTTCCCTATTAATAAACCAGTCCCATTATTGCAGGTTCAAAGAAATGATTTAGCATGCCGATCTCTTTCTAAAGTTTCTCAATAAGAGATGCGTACGGCAGACTAAATTTTGCACAATGATATGTCGAATAATTTCAGTGAAAATTTTTCTCCTCCTGAATTTCTTTACTTCTAGCTTTGGTCTGTTTAATGTATCTCTATCTACAATTTTCAACGAAAACAAACCTCTTGTGGGGTTTGCGTTGACTACTTTTGAAAAAATATTGAATCCGAAGGCTGCTCCGACAAGCCTGAACACTGCGGGCTTCACGTCAAAACTGACTAAACTCCTGGCCAGGGTGAAGCATATTCCGCCTCAAGTTTACTTCACTACAGTAAGTTCTGCTTTCTCCGCATGATGTTTTATTATTGTTTAAATGTAATCGCCTGTGTTATGAATTAAGTTTTAAAATGGCTATCTATGTATCATTTATTGACGATTAGTTTCTGATTTAATAAATAGTTGTATATTGTTTTTTAAAAAGTGTCTCTTCTTTAAAATTTACCAATTACATATGAGCCATATATACTAAATATTTCGGAATACATTTGTATTTTTACGTGCACTTTAGTTTAACCCATCTAAACATCTTTTACTGAGATAATTTATCCTGCGAGTTCCATAAAGGAGTTAATGCAAGTGCATTCATCAAATCGAAATCGGATCCTACTGGCCGATCCTACTGGTATCGAAGTACATGGTGATTCACGGAAACTTCCTGTTTTGTATTTCACGCCATGATTTCAAATGGAAGTGAGTTACAGATACTCCGCAAAGAACTGCAATTTTATCCCTACATATTGCCTGTGGCACAAGAACTCAGCGAAAACGATGTTATTGCTCGCCGAAATGAATGTGAAGCGCTTCTTGATAACTTGCCTCACGACGCAGTTGTTTTCTTTAGTGATGAGGCTCACTTCCACATATCCGGCCGCGTAAACAAGCAAAATATGCGTTATTGGAGTGATAACAATTCGCGTGAACTCTATCAGCGGCTATTTCAGTGTGAGCGCGTAAATGTGGGGTGCGCGGTGTCAAAAGCCGGCATAATAATTGGCCCTTATTCCTTTGAGGAAAACGAACGCTCAGTAACGGTGACTGCAGTTCGGTACACGCAAATGATTGACGGTTTTTTTTTTGCCGAAACTGGCTGAAATGAAAAACAGAGATGTCTGGTTCCAACAGGCCAACAGGATGGAGCTAGGGCCCACACAGCGCGATGTTCAGTTAATATTTTGAGACAACATATCGCAGAGCACCTCAACTACTTGAGAGGTGACCCTATTTGGCCGGCCCTATCCCCCGATTTGTCTCCGTGTGATTTTTTTTATGGAGTTATCTTAAATAAACTGTTAACAATGACTGTCTAAGGACCCTACCTCAATTGAAGAACAACATACGCCAAGCCATCGCCAACATACCCGTCAATATGCTTCAGCGAGTTGAACAGATCTTCAAAAATAGACTAACTGAATGCTTTGACAATGGGGGCCGGCCGTCATTTGTCCGATGTCATCTTTAAAACTAAGTAATACAAAAATTTAGGTACTGCATTTTTCAACGAGATTTATATTATAATGATATCTTTTATTTAGTTATTTTTTATTTGAGCTTTCAAATCAGGAAGTTTCTGTTAATCACCCTGTACATCGTTCATCACAATTTCTTAAGGAACTTTCGAACAGTTCATGTCAACCTCTTCTGTCATTAGGTTTGTTACTTGGAAAAAAAATTCTTACCACAGACGACAAACTTTTGCAGAGCGGCAATCTTCATAAAAAAAACACTAAACAGCTTTCCGAACTAATTTTCATGCAGTATTTAAAATGAATACTCAGTCCACCAACTTCTGAGAGGTTCTTTATTTCAGGTAACCATCTCTAATTACAAACCCGTGGTTTGTAATTAAAGTTATATATTATTAGAGTATTATTTCAACTATATTAGTATAGTTGAAATAGCTGCTGCTGGTACATACTTCATAAAAGGAAAGTAACAAACTGAACCGTAAGCGCTTCCTTGCGCGGCGCTCCGCTTCGAACCGCTGTCCCGTCTGATACTGCTCCGTTGACACTGGCCAAATGACATCTGCCAACATGAAAGTCTCTAATTAATTGAAGTAAATGTACTACTGATATCAGTAACTTTGTTTTACGTAACAACCGCTCACGCGCAACACACTCGAGTGCTGTGGCAACTCGTGATTTTCTGCATTGGCTTGCTCTTTTTCGTCAAATTTATGTCCAAATCATTCTAAGTTATCAATAGGCAAGGGAGCAAGGCCTTCAGGCTGGAAATAGAAGTTCGTAGCTGCGCGATAGTTTTTGATTAATGGTGTAAATCGAGTTTATTTGCAATTAAGTGGCATATAGTCCCTTCATCTAAGGCAGGGGTCACCAAACTTTTTTCACAGTTGGCCGGATAACTGAAGGAATGACGAGCGCGGGCCGCGTAATCATTCTGTTCAATACTTGCAAGCCAGAACGAAAGTTTTTGGGGAAAAAACGAAAAAACGAAAAAAACTAATTTGGAATTCCTCGTTAATCAATAAACAACAAAAACAACCAACATTTTATTTACTAAAAAGTTTTCAAAGAAAGCGACGTAAGCAAAAAGATAGTTACATCAGGCCAAGTGTGCACATATCCGAATCTCACAAACTAAACAGCGAAAAAGGTTAGTGAGCTTTGCGAAACTGACGTTTCGCTTTCAAGATATAGAATAGAATAGAAGTGTCGGCACTGAAGAAATAGGCCTATGGCCTGTTGCCGATTCCTGAATTTTTCGTGAATTGATTCACAAGGGATCCGGCCTGTGGAACCCGATCATTAGAATAGAATAGAAGTGTCGGCACTGAAGAAATAGGCCTATGGCCTGTTGCCGATTCCTGAATTTTTCGTGAATTGATTCACAAGGGATCCGGCATGTGGAACCCGATCTTTCCGTAACTGACGTTCATATCATCAATGTTTGGTTTGGAATTGCTGCATCCAATCAAGAGAATTGCTTTCAAATGTTCATCAGTCAATCTTGTTCGACGTGTTGACTTCACATACTTCATTTTTGAAAATATTTGCTCATAGGCACAAGTTGTTCCGAACACTGATGCCATAACAGCAGCAAATTTCTTCAATTTTGGAAACTCATGATCAGGTATAAAGCAGCAGTAAAATTTGACAAGTTTTCCTTCTCTGTGCTTATCTTTCAACAAGTCATTTGCTTGCAAATCAATGAGCTCTAACTGTAGTTCAACTGGTAAATCGTAAAGGTTACCATCAAACGGATTTTGGAACAGAAGAATGTCACTCCCAGTTCTGTCGAGATCTGAAAATCTGTCAAAAAATGCTTCTTCAAGTCACAAATAATCTTCTTTGGAAAATCGAGGTTGCCATCTTCAGCGATTGAAGCGCAAAACTACGAAACAGTGAAAATGATTGAAGTTTTGGGCTTCCAAGAAGAAGTACAATACAAGAATACTTAGATACAATAATTGAAACTAGTAAATTTAAGGCACATAGCGATCAGGAGGTCTCCGCACGCGCGAAGATTTCCTAGTATTATAAGCATAAAATGTAAATTGTATCACAACATCTCGTGTTCCAACCGTTTTATCAAGCAAATTAAAGTACCGTCGACGGGCCTGGTGAACTGACGTCGCGGGCCGGATTCGGCCCGCGGGCCGTAGTTGGTGACCCCTGATCTAAGGGTACGCACACAGTTAAAGCAGGTTTGCCCGCGCGGGCAACCTGCTCCAACCTGCCACAAGAATGAACGTAGGATAATAATGTAAGTGTTCACAGTGAAAACCTGTACGAATAGGCTTCTGTATTCTATGATTTCAGGCACCAGCCTGAGCAGGTAACCAGCACGCTGGCAACCTGCTTTCACTGTGGGCGTACCCTAAGGTTGTACAAGAATAAGAAGCCAACGCCCATGAAATCTCTAGCAAATTCTTGGAGTGTCCTGAGGTGAAAGCGATCACGTCCTCTTGAAATGCTAAATTTTGATTGACATATGTTGCTTGAGTGCCGTTTATTCTAATGTATTATAACTTGTCCACTAAGAAAACAAGCGCTATTTTATGATAAATACTATTCAATACTCAATGAATACTCTTCAAGTCTTCTATAAATAGGCGGCTAAAAACCTTATTAAAAACTAAGGAATTGGTAGTTGATAGACATGGCTGCAATGGGGCCCTGATGAACAATGACAATTTTGTTGTATTATCTCATAGTTCTTCGATAGTTTTCTTTTTCGAAATTTAATCGGTAAATTGAATTCCGTACGAAAATTTTCACAGCACCAGCACATTCTTCAACATGGCTACCCAGCGGAGGAACACTTCGTGGTCACGCCAGACGGTTACATTCTGACCGTGAACCGCATCGCCGGACCACGTCACTCGCGGGGCAGAAGTCGCTCCCCCGACGTGGTGCTCTTGATGACTTCAGTCATCAGTTCTTCGTCAGACTTCATTTTGGACGCTCCAGACTCACTAGGTCTGTAATTATTTTCAATTACCTTTCCGCTCTATCCAGCGTTGAGATTCATTCAAAATAGTTTATGAAATTTAAAAAGTTCAAATACAATTTTTTTAGCTGACAAAAATATTAAGCTAAGCAAAGTTTTCTCTTTCTTGAATTATTATTTCACTAAATCCTTTGAATAATTCGTATGTATTAAGAAAATCGATACGATGGGTTAGGGCTGTCATAACAAAGGGACTGTCATAACACAGGTACTGATAACATAGGTATTGATAACATAGGTACTGAAAATATAGGTACTGATATCATATATACTGATAACATAGGTACTGATGTCATAGATACTGATATCATAGGTACTGCTAACATAGGTACTGATAACATAGGTGCTGATATCAGAGGTACTGATGGCATAGGTACTGATAACATAGGTGCTGATATCATAGATACTGATATCATAGGTACTGCTAACATATAGGTACTGATAACATAGGTGCTGATATCAGAGGTACTGATGGCATAGGTACTGATGACATAGGTACTGATGGCATAGGTGCTGATATCATAGGTACTGATATCATAGGTACTGATGGCATAGGTACTGATATCATAGGTACTGATGGCATAGGTACTGATATCATAGGTGCTGATATCATAGGAACTGATATCATAGGTACTGATGGAATAGGTGCTGATATCATAGGTACTGATATCATAGGTACTGATGGAATAGGTACTGATATCATAGGTACTGATATCATAGGTACTGATGGAATAGGTACTGATATCATAGGTACTGATATCATAGGTACTGATGGAATAGGTACTGATATCATAGATACTGATATCATAGGTACTGATGGAATAGGTACTGATATCATAGGTGCTGATATCATAGGTACTGATGGAATAGGTACTGATATCATAGGTGCTGATATCATAAGTACTGTCAGCGGCTGTCAAGGGCCTACGACTCTACGTCGACTCGAACAAATACGTGGAACAAATTCAAGGACTTGCATAAGTAAACATGATGCATATTATGAAAAAATATAACTCAGTACTAACTGGAGTGAGTGACAGAGAGCGCATTTTCTCGTCGACGAAAACTTGAGGTCACGGACAGACGGACGGACAGACAGACAGACAGACGGACACGGCGAGCACAATAGTGCATTTTTTCCATAAATGAGAAAATGCGCTAAAAACGTACAAAATTGTCTCAGTCTCAGATAAATTACAACTAAAATACCTCTACACGAATGAAAATATTGAGGAGTGCTGTACATTATAAAATATTATTTCACGAAATTGAAATTAATGGCATGAGGTCATCATTTGCTGCGTTTTGCTTTTTAAGCAATTCTCCCTGACTGTAACGTTCAGACCTTACATTTCCTTTTATAAAATATACACTCTAAACTTCAGTGTTTATTTTGTAATAGTAAATGTAAGGAGACATTGCTTATTTAGCTCAAAACTGGTAATTAGTCTGACAACGAGTAGTGTTCTTGGTAATTAAAACGGATTCTAGCTTGCTTTCAAATTTCTCTAACTCAGCGTAGGTCATTCAAATTTTGATAAAGCTGTTTGTTTTTTCTAGGAGGTCTTAAGCTGAGTTTCTTGTTATTAAAGGTAACTTTATTTCCACTTATGAGAATTGCATTTCCGTTCATTATTCTTTGAGCTACATTTTAAAAAATATAACTCAGTACTCACTGCAGTGAGTGGCAGAGAGCACGCTTTTCTAGTCGACGAAAACGTGAAGTCACGGACGGACGGATGGACGGACGGACGGACAGACTTCAGTCATCAGTTCAGTATGTCCGTCAGTACGGACAGACGGACATGGCGAGCACAATAGCGCCTTTTTTCCAATAATGAGAAAATGCTCTAAAAATATTGTTTATTTAACCACTTAGGATACGTGCTGGCGGATGCAGGTTACGATGTTTGGCTTGGAAGCAACCGAGGCACACGAGAAGGCCGCAACCACACGCGCCTCAACCCAGACAAGGACAAACGTTTTTGGAACTTCAGGTAGCAGCTCTACGTGCGATTATTTATAGAAGCTAGGATTTTTCTTTCAAAAATCGATCTTTGGGATAGCGGCTAAATAAAATTCTTGTTTTCTTTTGCTTGTAATCAATCATCGATTTTAAGAAATAGGCGCACACAAAATGGTTATCCAATTTGCACTATTGAATGTCAAATTTATTCGTGCATCGCAACAAAACTGTTTTCCTGCTAAACACAAGAAAATATTTCAGGCGGTTGCATTTTGAGTTTCTGGTATTTTGTGAAGGAGACTGAATAAAAAACTTTTTCCACACTATCTTTTAAAACGTTTTGTGCACAATCTTTTAAAACTTTTTGTTCACTACCTTTTAAAACTTTTTGAAAACTTTATTTTAAAATTTTTTGTACACTATCTTTTCAATCTTTTTGCCCACCATCTGTTAAAACTTTTTGTACACTATCTTTTAAAATTTTTTGCACACCATCTTTTAAATCTTTTTTACACCATTTTATAAAACTTTTTGTTATAGACCGGTGCCTTTATTTTGTAGCAGCCGTTTAGCGTCAAAGCTTTCCAGGGAGACTAGTAAAGTTCTTTTGTGATCGGGATACGGCAATTATCGTTCGAAGAGAGACTTGTAATGAAAAACTACTTACGATAGAAAAGTACACTATTGAAACATGTGTGCATCATAACGTGAAAAATTAATAGCACCGAAAAAATTAAAAAATTCTCTCGTAAAAATTTCACATTGAAGATCATTCCGAATTCCAGCGTTTTTAGTACATGTTAATCCGTGCAGCTCTCGAAGGTGGTACGGTATTCGTGCTTGGTTACTTTCCTCCTTTCGACTGAACTTGATTGATCTTCTTTATTCTACCGAATTTTATTGCTCCTTTTTATTCAACCGATCTTGGTTGATCTTCTTAACTTTATTTTCTTTCGTTTATATTCTATACTCAATCGATGCTGACCGCATGCAGTTTTTCTAGCTTCTATATTCGACCTAACATCGATGCTCATATCTCAACAGAACTTGTTGCTCATGTTCACTCCATCTAACTTAGCTGCAATTTAAACGTAAAAATATTAAGTACACAATGTTCTTTTGCCTCTAGATTTCTGATGCTAAAATTATTTGAAAAACAGTCTGGACGAAATCGCGCGCTACGACTACCCGGCCCTTGCCTCGTACATCACACGCCATGCGGGGGTCGAGCGTTTCTTCTTCGTCGGGTTTTCTGCCGCCAACCGATGCCTCTTCATGTCGGCCTCTCTACCGAACAGCTTCATGAATAAGGTTTTGAAGTTTTTAAATAAACCGATTTTCTAATACTCCATACATACGATCAGTGATAAGAAAGGAAGAATCTGTAAGTTTATGTCGATGATCGATATTTGGTTTAATTTTTTTCTCCACCGCTCAGTATGTGCATTTCGTACAGCACCTTAGCTAAAATTATTGAGATATTTCTTTTAGTCAAAGAAAGACTCATCCGTCTTACATCAGAGATGATAATAGTTAGTTAGCAAACACAAAACGTTTCCATGATAAACGTACGCAACTATATGTCGATGCACTTGATTTGTCTGTTCAGAAAGAAGCCTTGTGATTTTTCCATTACGCAGCCTCGCGATCTCAAGTATGAGTAGGAAGAGATAAGAGATAATTTGATGCAGCTTTACGGAGTACACTTAGTGAATAATTCAACGCAAAATTGCTGTCTGCTACCTTCTGCATTTAAATGAAAACCCAAACATTTCTATATATGGCTATAAAAATTGCAATATTGCTTGATTTGGTGGACGTGTAATTTGCACATAATATTTTCCAACGAATACCTGGTTCCGAAAGTGGGCAATAATGTATGTTTCTCAACAGATTCGCATGGTTGTGAGCTTGGCACCGATGATCGGAACTGAGAACCCTTCTTTATTCATGAAATTTTTTTCCAAGTTCATTGATGATGACATTGTGAGTTTTTCGTAAGTTCCCCATCTATTCGTTAATTTCCCCCCCAGTTTATTATGAGTTATTTTTGTCCAAAATTTACGCTCGTCTTCTTTCGTTACTTCTCACATACTTGAACGGCATCTTTGTTATTTTAAATATATTCCTCCTAACTCACTATTGAGTATCGCTAACAGGTGCAAGGAGTTCTGGAGCAGTTCAATGGAGGACAATTTTATCACGGCAACGACTTCATGAAATCCCTGCTTTACATCGCATGCAGCGACCGCAGCAAACTACGCCCGATCTGCCTTTATTTTACAAAATTTACTGGTGGAGTGCACAAGGGATATCTAGGAAAGGTTATTAAAATTTCTTGCCACATTTATGTTTTACAAGATGGCTCTCATCTCCAATGCTGGATCGTTAGTATTACAGTAATTGGTATTTTGTTAAACATTGCCCTTTCGTTAACTGCAATAATTGATAATCCAAAATGCAATTAATTATTGTACTTTTTGATACTCAAAAATGCAATTAATTATTGTACTCTTGTCTACTTACCGTCCGCAGGATAGGCTCGCATTTGGCCTCAACAGCGCCCTGTCGGGAGCCTCAAACAAAGCAATCGAACATATCACACAGATAAACCTTACTCGTGAGTCTCCGTATGTCCCCATTGATGACTCGTTCTTACGGCATGATGGCCTTACAGTTTTTGGACATCATGGCTTTCCCTATGTTCGTGAACTTGTAGAAAAAAATTGCGCTTGTAAGATCAAATTTTTCCGTGTTTACGTTGTTTTTTAGACTACCATATTGCAAGTAGTGTATTTTCACGAATTCTTCGCTCATTTCAAAAAAAAATTATTTCCTATAATAAATGTGACATATGTTACAGAATGCCTAAATAACTTTTGTATAGAACACAACTCAAATTTGCATTTTTTTGGACCAGCTGACTTACGGATGTACAGCTACGGAGCCGGCAACATGGCTGTGTACGGCACCGAAACGTCCCCAGTCTACAACCTCTCGCTCGTCTCAGCTCCTATTGCTCTCGTCGTCAGCCCCAAAGACCAAGTCACACACATCAGAGTGAGTGCAAGCAAGAGAACACAATAATGTAGCATGACTAAAGAATTGTAATAACTAGATTCTTACGTCTACTGACCCTTGTAAAGATAAAGGGAAATAATGTATAACTGCACACGTTGAACAAACATATATAATGAGAGGTACTCTACCATGCCCTGCTCTAAAAATTTCAAACTTATCAACGGGACGAGAAAAATTCTAAAGTGCTCTCTCATGAATATTTCATGTATGTATAAGGTATTAATGATACACTTTCTATTATTAATTATTTATTGTTAAATCAACCATTGAAAATATAGGTTGTCGTGGCGCACACGCTGCCGCAGTTTACACGTACGTGGCTACCACTACACAAAAGCCGTTTGTGATCGTATAGTTTTGGTAGTACGCACTACACGTTGAGGATAAAAACAAGACACTGATTCACAACGGTAAACTGGTGCTTTACGCGCAGGCATGTACATGAGACATCTTTCATGTACAGTCCCAAGACCAAGGTGACCATGAGACGAAGCGCCATGGCATGATTGCATTGAGATGACACTCTCACAGTCACTTTATTTTTCGCCTCCCTAAAAGCTTTTTAGCGAGAAGTTGAGTATAAAAGTTAACTATTTTTTCATTGTACCTTGATTATTATTTTACGACACTTATATTTTAACCATGCATAAGTACCCACACTTTGGTTGCACAGGACCTGGCGTATTTGAGGAAGTCATTGCCGAATGTTGTGGCTACCCACGTCGTCCAGCAGCGCGACTACGGCCATCTCGACTTGATTTATGCCGATAACGCAAGAAAGTCCGTCTACGATAACGTCTTGCAGTTAATGAGACAATATTAGATCAAATTTTACTAATATTAAGTAACTTGAGCTAAAATTCTGAGGAATTTTAGTGGTGATAAATTGATGGTCACTGTCAATTGTGGCGATTGATCATCGCTGATTTTTGCCGCAACGATATTTATACTGAAACAATTAGTCAATGAAAAATATGAGATGACAAAAATTTTTCATTACATCTCAATTTATCACAGAAATAATGCGTGCTGAGACTATTTGCGGCAATCAAGTGGAGATGTCTAACTCATATCAAGTCTCTTTCTACCTCTAACGAAGTACACTTGACCTATATGCTGATTTTCGCTTCGTTATACGAAATGATAAGTTTTAGAGCGCTGGAGAGCTTTTCCTCCAGCTATAATTTATACAATTCCGAACGTATGTCAAGGACGCCGGCATCACACCAGAGCGGCGCGGCATTCGCTGCTAGACATCAAGCACCGTCGGTCCAGTGCAGGTGCCTTCCATTTGTAGCATTTCGTCTCAAAAGATCTCTCTAGGATACCAGCAATTTAATCTTACCGTCTTTAGCAACTTTCATGTGTTTTTCAAACGTTATAAGCACTTCGAATTTTTACATTTTTACGTGAACACTTGACGGTAATTGAACTCCAGTTCAAGTCGAGTTCCATCGTTGATGTTTGTTTATATCCAATTAACACTTGATACTTCTTTTGATAAAGAGAATTACGACCTGACGATCGTCAACGCCAGGTCGCAAACGTTATTATTATGTTTTCTTAATGACGTAATTATTTTGTTTTGAAGAATGTTTGAAGAGTGGTAGAAATAGTTGATTGCAGTATGGACAAGAAGTGCTACAGATGTAATCACTAGTGTGTACAAAGATAATCAAATTTTGAACGTTGTGTCCAGCGAGAGTTTCACTGCCATCCTTGCTTAAAGCATGTTATTTAAAATAATAATTATCCTAATCCACGATAAATTATCGAGAAAAGAGTCAGGAATTATAGAACCATGTGATTTATTATCTTAGAAAGTCTTCATTAAATTTCCAAGCCTGAAACAGTAAAAAAAGATAAAAATTAAATCCATTTTACTCAATTGTTCACACCCAGAAGGGTCTTGTTTAAGCTTATATATATATTGGAAACGTTATAAAATTTATTTCTGAAAATTTTCAGGAAGAGCTCATATGTATACTAATAATTTATCTGCCTTAGGTACAATTACATTTTATTTGCTTGGTAAGGCGCATAACAATGAACATTATACTTGGTCTGCAAAAAATTTTAAACAGCAGCACGATGGAGAAAAGTAAAGTTATTAAAAAATGTTGTTTTACCCTTCGAAACAACCACTCGCGTCACAGCTCCAAAAATATTTATTTAATAATTGATAGTTCTAATTTTTAAAGGGGAAACGCAATAAAGTGAACTTCTACATTAAGTGATAAATCTTATAGTTAATCACAGTCGTCACTGATGATATTCAAGTCGATGTCTACTATTGAACTGAAAAATCATCCCAAATCGAAGCCTGCTGTGGCCTGAGTCCAAACACCCAACCCAAGGCACATATAGTCAAGGTTTCCTAATGGAAACCTCCCTGTTTACCTTGACATCGATAAGGCACATGCAGAACTGGATTTAAAGGTCAAATTTTCATCGAAGTTTCTGAACATAACTCATATATCGTGCATAAATGTGCTGTATGTATCTCTGAATTCACAGAAGCAAGCCGAAAAATCTTATCCTATAATTGAACGGCACTTGTACACACTGACTGATATTTCAATCAAACACGTAAAAATATCGAATTTGTTAAAATAGATTTTTCCGGTTATGCATCTTATCAAGTTTTTTGGTGCAATGAAAGTATTTCCTTGCAGAAGCAAGATCATATAGCCGGTGTGCACTCAGTTATTACTTGAAATCATCCTATTCATTTAATAAATACTGAATACCGGTGAATACGAATCCATGTCTACTAAATATCAACATGTTGACAATAATTCGTGCATGTTTAACCACGTGACAATGAACATTCCCATGTGCGTACTGTTATTAAACACAAAGAATGTTTTTAGTAACTTTCCTATTTATCGTAATACCAATTCCAATCACGAGTTTGGTTTATTTAAGAATTAAATTTTACTCGCTAGTGGATATTGATTATAATAAAGTAAACAATTTGATGGCAAAGCGTTTTAGGTGAAAGTTTTCAGCAATTTAAGGATTGGAATCCAAATTTATGACATGAGTAAAACTTGAGCTCACAATGTTTTTGTTAAATAACGGCATCTTGCATGAGTTTACCGCCAGCATTTGTACTGGCGATCAATATTTCTTTGGCGGAGACCAGCCAAATGTTTTTCGTTCCGTCATATGCGCTCAATATTATATGTAAAGTTTGTAAAAATTTCGCTTCATCTGAAAATATTTTTTTGTGTTTTGCATGAATTGTTTTTATTTCCAATAATGAGATTGAAAATACATTGCAAAAAGCTATGCTGTCATGCGTAAGAAATGCTTCCAGTTTTAAATTTAACCCTCTGACTATTGAAGTTAACTTTGAGTCATCAGGCTATGCCTATGAACTCTCAAAATGCTATAGTGACGCATTGTATTGACGACGAACAATTAATCCGTAGACAAAAGGTTGATACAAACGTCGATTTCAAGTTGAATACTAACAATATTCGTTTAAAAATTACTTTTTAAAGACAACACTTCTTAAGAATCCAGTGTCTCCAATAATAAAGCTGTACAATGAATTTCTGATTTCATTTTCGAATAATAAAAAAATTAATTTTCCATTTTTTTTAATTTATAAAAAAATTTGTTCAAAATTATTCATTCTGTCAATTGATTCGTGCATTGCTTCCAACTTCACATTTGTGTGCAAAATTTCAGATCAATTGGACAGTTAAAAGTGTGTCAAATATCAGTTATAACATTTGTAGCTGACAAAATTATTTTTTCAATTTTTTATTATTGAAAATATATAGATATATATATATTTTAAAAATCATTTATTTTGTCATTTGATTCTTGCATTGTCTCCAACTTTACGCAAGTGTGCACACTTTCAGATCGATAGGATAAGTAGAAGTGTGTTAAATTTCGATTATAAGATTTGTAGCAGACAGACAGACTGACAGACAGACAGACAAACAAGAAGTGAAGTTAAAGAGAAGTGTTGTAATAATAATAATGAAAAGTACCCGACAAGGCCCAAAGATAGTAATAAACCAGGATAAATGTTTGATATCCCGCGTGTGTAATTACGAAATTTATTTACAGTGAACTTTGCGCTTCGGATGTAAAACTTTCAAGATGAATTTTAGAGCTATTACTGTGATACTTTTCCTTCTCGTGACTACTTTTACTTCAAGCTTTGGTCTCTTCACAAATGTATCTCTATCTACAATTTTCAACGAAAACAAACCTCTTGTGGGGTTTGCGTTGACTACCCTTGGTAAAATATTGAATCCGACCGCGGCTTCGACAACCCAGAGGCCAGCGGGCTTCACGTCAAAGTTGACGAAACTCCTGGCCAGCGTCCTGAATATCCCGCCTGAGGTCTACTTTAGCACAGTAAGTTCTGCCATTACTTCATATGGTTCCATCAGTTTTGATAATTATTTGCCTGTGAAGTCTCAAGAATGATCTTCTATATATCATATTTATTCACGATTAAATTTCGGTTTTTAAAACACTTTAAAAATGTTTTTGACTGGTATGTTTTTTCAGTGCCTATTTTCATGGTCATTCAAAATTAATCGATAGTTTTGTAATCCAATCCCAAGGGATGTTCATTCGCTGTATGACTAGTATCAATTTAACATTCATAAATGTTATATAGGTACATATGGGTATAAAGTTGCGAGGCGAGATTGAGAAAGGATTTCAAACAATTGAGGCTTCCTGTATACTTTAAGAATCGTTAAATTAATTAAAATTTAAATTAAAAGAAACAGATTTTTAAAATGTATACCGAAGTTTTCGACTCTAGGAGTTCCACAAATCTGCCAAAGCGAGTTTAAGAGCTAAATCAAAATTAAGTTCCTATGGAGCTGATGCAGTGAAAGCAATAAGTGGCAATATAGTCGTAGTTATTTTTCTCGTTTCTACAGTAATATAGGATTCAGTCGGTCTGAGAAATGAAGATCAGGGCTAAGGGTACGCTGAATAATTAGGCAATTATCAATAACTGTGCCACTAAACATGCAACATTTGTTGCTAATCCCTTAGGAGCTCAAATTAGGCAATTTAGAAAAATTTGGACCGCACAAACTCTCCTTTCTAGAGGGTACCTAGGTTGAATTCATATTCTGCACCCACATCAATCGAAATGCACAAAAATAATATAATCAAGCTTGTCAATTGGAGTTAGTATGTTCCATACTGTACGAGCAACTCACGGGAGCACAGCTGGTAGTGAAACACAATAAGTAGCACGGCACGTATACTGACAACGCGGATAGAGCTAGACCTGGATAACTTAGTCTGATGCCGATAAAACAGATACTAAACGCGACGTATTGCTATAGTATACATCGGCTTCCGAAGGCACGTTAAGGTTCGGACGAGAGTTGTGCACATCAACTCTACACACATACCATATATTTAGTGTTAACGATGAACAAATTTTTCATTATCCACGTTTTGATGTACTATCACACTCCTATATTGGAAGTTTTTTTTCAATCGGTCCTCAAGCACGGTTAAGGGGAGCGTGTGGGTCCCAAAAAACTTATTTATTTACGGACAGATCATCTTGAAACTTAGTAAACTTGTGTAAAACAGAAATCTGAGACTTTTGTTCGTGTAAATTTTTCGAAAAATAAAAGAAAACGTGAAATTCTCAGAAAACCTCCAAAAAGGGGGTACTGTAGAAATCTATCTCCTCCAAGGATTTTCAAGCTACAACATCTAAACGCATATCATTTGATGCGTAAATTAAGACCATATCTAAAAATCTGTGTATAGGCATTTTTTTATATTCTCATTTTTGTGGGTGTGGGGCATTTTTCGTAAAACTTTTGATTTTACCCCCCACCACCCTCCCCCTTTTGCAAAATAAAATCCAAACTATAACGAAATTGGAAAAACTCCTTCACAGTTTTCAAGATCTTTTTTATTTGCAAATCGAACGGTATATGTCTCATTGCTGCAGCTTCAAAACTCTAGGAGGAGATACATAGGTTTGCAATGAGAGCGGGTGGAGGTGACAGCCGAAAAACCCCTGTGACGGCGCGCGCGCGCTATATAAAGGCATTTCTCGTAGCCAAGGTACTCAAGTTACGTGTTAGTTCACTCTGTAGCATCAGCGATGCAGACAACGACGGCATGAACATCTTTCTACATGCCAGCTGGAGTATAACTGAAACCCGAGGCTGAGTCGCTTAGAGAGCACACTAATATGTGCCTGGCTTGAATTTCCTTAGGCAGGAATTTGTTGAAGGGTTCTCGCAGAGTAACTCTTTCGCGATCTGTCGTGAACGCATAAATCAACGTACAGAAATGGTTTTGTTACCGTTAGACGCGGCAGAATGTAAGCCTTAAGATGAGTTTAAAAACCGGGAAAGCCGATATTTCCGATTTTGGACCCAGACGCTCCCCTTAAGTTAAGATGATTTCAATAAAAATAAGGATAATTTTTGAGAAAACGTTATCTCATAAGGCCAAGCCTAACTAAAACTTTTGTTTTCATAAGGGATAGGTTAATGCTTCAAATTAAACGACAAACTTCACAGCACCAGCACATTCTTCAACAAGGCTACCCAGCGGAGGAGCACTTCGTGGTCTCTCCAGACGGGTACATTCTGACCGTGAACCGCATCCCCGGGCCACGTCACTCGCGGGGAAGAAGTCGTTCTGCCGACGTGGTGCTCATGATGACGACAACCATCAGTTCATCGTCCGACTACATCGTCAGCTCACCCAAGTACTCACTTGGTACGATATAACTTGCAATCGCCGTATAAATTTGCTGCGCTGTCAACCTTTTTAATTTCTAATCATTTTATTCTAGAGAATGATCGCATACTTTTTATTGATGGTTGGATACATATGGTTTGCTCAATCGAAATTTGCTACAATTCGCGACTTTATTCTAGAGGCCGATTGATTACTTATGTACTTGCTTCGAAAACGATTGAAATATTAGGTACCGATTGAGAGTTTTTCAGAAAGTGTTCAATGTTACGAGTTGATTTCAAGTAATATTGTATGCAATTCTTGGCTTCGCAGCATACCTCCTGGCGGACGCAGGCTACGATGTCTGGCTTGGTAACGTCCGAGGCACAAGAGAAGGACGGAACCACACGCGCCTCAACCCAGACAAGGACAGGCGCTTCTGGAACTTCAGGTACACTCTCTATACGTGCTAGAATTTAGCGAAGGTTGAAGCTTTCACGTAGAATGCATTCAAAAATAATTATGAAAGATACTAATCTATCAGAGGGAAAATGTATTTCCGCATAATAGTGGTAAAACGATTATTTCGGCAAGAAATAGAACACCTTGTGAAATGATATTTCTGTTTAAAATGTTTCGCAGTGGGTATTTTTTTTTGCTGTGAAGATGATTGCATCTATTCAGACGATTTTTTCATTCATCAACTTGTTTCAAAGTTTCGGCAATTGCCAGTGGCTGATAGTTATAATAATAACATAACATAACATAACATAGTGATGTCGGCTCTGAAAGTGTAGGCCTGATGTGGCCTGTCGCCGATTCTTTTCCATTTCGTGCCTTGTTCATAGAATCTAAACTCGTGTCATTTGACAGGATCTTTTCATGACTGGCGATAGTTTGAAGAAGCTACTAGACTTCCATCGGGTTCGATAAGGAGCTAGGCATTATGTCTTCTCATACTGTAATCTTGCTGTTCATTGTTCTTCCCGAGGTGAAGTACTTTACACTTGTCAGCATTAAACCGCAGCTGCCACGTATCAGCCCAGTTAACTAAGCTGTCAAGATCATCTTGCAATTGCGCTTTATTTGACGCATTCTTCACTGTATTATAGACTTTTGTGTCGTCGGCATACATGGAGCACATTTACAATACACAATATTAAATATACACAATATTAAATAGTGTATCACTATTTTGATAATTTGATTACGTAATGTTGACCTGTTACCGATTCTTAACCACACGTCACTCCTTACGATTTTTTTACAACTAATCGCAGTTTTCGGACCTCCAACTCCACGCTCCAATTTTGGTTTTCCTAACCACTTTGCTACTCCGGCTTCCCTGAATAGATTGAGAAACATAATTCACAGGATGGGTAAAATTTGATCATCTATTGACAAAAAATTATATTTCACAAGGACCTAAATCTTGAAATGCATAGGGAGTAAAATTTCTCGAACGGCACAGTGTAGACGACGTCGCACGCTACGACTACCCGGCCCTTGCTTCGTACATCACACGCCATGCGGGGGTCGAGCGTATCTTCTTCGTCGGGTTTTCTGCCGCCAACAGATGCCTCTTCATGTCGGCGTCGGCGCCCAACAGCTTCATTGACAAGGTCTATTTGAACTTCAAATGAAATTTGAGAATACATAAAAGTGAGTTTTTTTGGGGAAAATTGTGCAATCGTAGATTCATTGAAAACAAGTCTTGTACACAAATGGAAAGTAAAACATAACAGTTGTGGAGAATGCGTCGACTTGATTTGATAAAATTTTGCACTCTTCAAATTCTCCTACCGAAGTATAATAATCCATTCAAGTAAACCAGACTACAAGGCATGCTTCTGTTCAACAGATTCGTTTATCGGTGAGCCTCTCACCAGCGCTAGGCACTGAGCAATCTTCTCCATTTATGAACGTCTTCACTAAGATCTTTAGCGAGATCAGGGTAAGTCATGTATTGGCTTTATAACTACATTTATAGGGTAAAAGTAACTTAGAATATTTTTCAACTGAAATGAGTTCCGTTTTAAAATTTTAACTTTCATAAATTGAAATGAGTTCAGTGGACAAATTATATTGATGCAATCAACACGTACGAATGAACAAATAAGTTTTCACCTTTCCTTAGACGTTAGGATCTTTCCATGTATTAAGTGGAATGCCAGTTTCACCTAATAATTCCCTTTAATCTGAGAATGAGTATCTTTGATACGTTCAGGGAGTCGTAGAGAAGTTCAATGGCGGGCAATTTTACCACGGCAACGACTTCATGAAGTCCCTGATTTACATCGCATGCAGCGACCGCAGCAAACTTCGCCCACTCTGCCTTCGTCTCACATCCACTCTCATGGGTGGGGTGCATTCAGGATACGATGGAAAGGTCAATTAAACTTTTGTCGTTTTTTTGTGTATAGATGATTTATATTGTCGATTTCGATGGTTCGCATTATTCGGATCAATAGTAAATATTGAATATTTCGTACAACGCATTCCGGGTTCGGTAAAACCTTCGATTTTGCAAAAGGATAAAATATAAAAATAACAGACCGTCGAAGTAATTCTATTTAACTTTAACAGGATAAACTTGCTTTCGCCTTGAACAGCCTTATGTCGGGCACCTCAAACAAAGCTGCGCTACATCAAGCTCAGATCAACACGTCTCGTGAGTTATTATCTTGAGAGCTGACAAGTTCTTGAAACGGTTTTTTATATTCCGATTGCGTTATGAGATTTATGTGTTGAATTTAGCCGAGTGGGAGAAAACTTTGATTTCGGAACCGCAATAAATTTATTTTTAAAATCAACGTTTTACTCAATGAATACTAGCAGGTAGAAAAAGGGAGCACATCATCGCAGTTTGCAAAAACAGCTTAAATCACAGGTTACCGATCATTTACCCACAATCTTACCTCGAACATTAGCCATCAAAATTTGGCTGAGAACTGTCTCCCAATCGAAACCTTACCGAGCGCTCACAATATTTTTTAATCACCGTCAGTAAAGTGTGCAAACTATTCGTTATAATAACACGGGACTTGACGTAGACTCCTAGAGCGAGTAGAACTTAAGAAGATACTTTTTTGGAATGTATAACAGATTTAAACGTTTGAAATACTAAAATACTTAATACATAATCAGTTAATATACTGAACGTTATGATCCTCAGAAACCGAGTAATTCTATATCATACAAGGATGCAAATAATTTATACGGCTAGACAATGTCACAAGCCTACCATCAGGAATCTTTAGATGGCTGAAAGAAAATGAGCCATTTAAAGATGAAAAAGGCTATATTCTAGAAGTTGACTTTAGTTATCCAAAAGACTCACATGACAATCATAATGACATACGTCTAGCTCCTGCAAAATATTAAAATAGGGGATGTTCATAAGTTAGTACCTCCCTCATCTTGATATGAGTGAAAAATATGTAATACATTATTGGATTTAAAGCTGCATGTGGAATTTGGATTGAAATTAGAAAAAATTCATAGAATATTAGAATTTGATGAAAGTTCATGTATGAAGCCATCAGAACACAAAAATGCGGCAACTAGCGAAATAAGATTTTGATAAAGACTCCTTCAAGTTAATGAATAATTCTGCATTCAGGAAAACAATTGAGGACATTGGATATAGAGTTGAAGTTAATCCGATTAAGGCTAAGCAAGAATTAAGGAGATTAGTTAATAAAGCTAATTTTTAAGGATTCAAAATATTCTCGGAAAACCTAATAGCTTATGACATACAAAAAATAAAAACTAAAGTTTGATAAACCAATGTATGTTGGGATGAGCATTCTAGATATAAGCAAGACATTGATGTATAACTTTTATTACAACTTCATAAGAGATAAATATTGTAATAGAGCAATGCTATTGTTCACCGATACCGATTCACTCTGCTATTACTTTCAAACCGACGACTTCTATGAAGATATTAGAAATAATCAAGACTTGTTTTAAGCATAGAATTACCTAAAGATCATTTCCTATATTAAAATCAGAACAAAAAGTAATCGGTAAAATGAAGGATGAAACAGGCGGACAACCCATAGAAGATTCATAGGTCTCCGAGCTAAGTTGTAGTGTTAGCAAACAAAATATTCTGTAGCTAAAAAAGTTTAATAAGAGTAATGTCATTGAAAAGAAAATAACCATGAGCGAATATAAGAGAGTTTTTAATAATGAAATTGTATATAAAACAATGTATAATATAAAAAATGATAATCATGAATTGTATACGGAGATGAAAATATGATTGCACTGAATGGCGACGATGATAAAGGCATGTATTAGCAGGTGTTATTAACACGCTGGCTTTGAACCACAATTTGATATAGAATATTGTTACACTGGTGCTTGAGGTACTTCATTATCTTAGTTTCTTATTCGGTTTATAATCGCTGAATGTTACAGTCGTTGGACTGAAGAGGTGGAGTTGAAGGGTCTCATTAGCTAAGCATTTCATTGGCTTTATAATTGCTGGTTGTCGACGGGGGCGGTGGGTGCTGGAACTGCGAAGGAGGAAATTCCGAAACTAAAAGTAAAGCGTGATGATACCTGATTAACATCCTATGACTACATCTATGATAAACAATCAAGTCAAATGAATTGCCTGAATTATTTCGAATAAGTTAGCATTTCCATTAAGAAAGATTTGTAATGAAACAGATAATATTGAGACTATAGCATAATCATCAAACTTTTCTATCAATACCTGATTTGAAAACCTTCAAACGAATTAAATTGTATACCGGTCGTGGAATTCTTTTTATACCGGAAGCGAATTTTTTTAATATCTTGTAAAGATTTTTCAGGATTTAAAATTGCAGTTTTCATTAAATATAAATATTCGTCATCTCAAGTATCTTCTTACCATGGATCCACTCAGCTGCTAAATCGTGAGATGATGTTTGAATCACTGATTTATTCCCTCAAAAATGTTTCAATTTTGCCTCGCTTCATTAAATTGTTAAACCGTCTTACGTATTGATTAAGACTTTTTTCGGGGATGACTATTTTATAGTAAACGTTCGTATTTTACGCAATTTGATATGATTTCTCATCTAACGCATTATCTATCGTTGCTATAACTTACATCAGATCGCACCATGCATTTAACCGCTTATTTTCTTTTATTCTATTTCTGAGTAAATTTATACAAAAATGTCCTGTAACTAATGTTTGTTCAAAGGGGGAGCCGATGCGACCGTTCTGCATAAGGGTTTGACACTTAATGTTTCGGCAAGAAAGATGGGCTGCGCTCTATAAAACTGAAATTATTGTTAACGCCCATTCCCAGGAACTGAGCGCGTTTTGGCAAGGTTTCCGGAAACGTAGTGATGAGCGTAATTACGCAGAGTGTAGATCAGGCTTCGGCACAGCTGGCAAATGAAATCTGACCAAACTTTGATAGCTAAGATTCACCGTAAGATTGTGCTTAAATAATCGGTAATCTTTGATTTAGTGTGTTTTTACAAACTGAGATGATGGGCTCCATTTTCTACCTACTAATACCTATGTCTCTTTTATTTATGAATAATTTATCTTGTAAACTTTTTGTTATCAGCTGTTTTACGGATGTTCGATTACCGGGCTGGCAACATGGCCGCTTACGGCTCGGAGAAGCCGCCAGCTTACAACCTCTCGCTGGTCTCCGCTCCTGTAGCCTTGTTCGTGAGTCCCGACGACCGACTCTTGCCCATCGAAGTAAGTGCAAACATGTGAACAAGTTGATCATTATAACTTAAAGTAGGCATTTTATTCGTTCTGCTAGTGGATGCGATGAGTAGCTATATAAATAGTATTTTACTATCTCTGTTTTATAGTAGCGTGCACAATAGGAATGGAACAAAATGGTAGAATGAATTCATATAATATTAATATTTTGACTAAAATTGATAACTCGACGGTATATAGAAAACTGAATGTATTTACCACCATCAATTCAAATTGCATCAACGACTGCTCGGATAGCAGTGTTTGTCAATTACTTTATTTTCACAAGCATTCTGTGCATTAAAGCGTTGAAATGCTTTCTATCGTTGTGTAAATCATTCATACTTATTCCAGGGCCTGGAAAGTCTCAAGAAAAATCTCCCGAACGTGGTGGTTACTCACTTAATTAGGCAGCCTGACTTTGGACGCATGGATGTGATATATTCGGACACTGCCAAAGAGCTTGTCTACGATCACGTCTTGCCACTAATGAAATTATTTTAAAAGAAAGAGATAATGGCTTGGAGAAATTAGTAGACGATTTATGCGGACAATATTTACGAAAATTGCGTAACGTCCAGGGTTGGTGATTTTTTTGATTTTTTCTAAAAAAATAAAAAAAAAATAAACGATTTATATGATTTTTTCATGATAGTTTTTTATTTATTTGAATTTTTTGATTTTTTCAGTTTTTTTTTTGTCTTTTTGAAAGGTTATTTTCTAGGTTGCAATTAGCCTACTAACAATAACAGTATGTGGATCATAATGGATGGATAAAAAGGGCACTTATTGCCTTCAATAATGGCCAACAGGCCAAGGTGGTGTTTACCACTTTGGGATTTTTGGGTAAACAATTATTGATAAGTAAGTCGATTCATTAGCTTTGTAAAGTTTTTTATGGAGCAAGGTAACAAGCTAAATATTGACCATTTAACTGGCTTCAATATACAAAAACACTTCAGGAATGCAGATCTTCTAAACATTGAAGAGTCACACAACAGATACTGAGATAGGTAGCTGATAGCACAGTGCATAGCACTATCAATAGATCTACTAGTTTTATGTCCTATAAATCTACCAGACTCTACACTCTATACACACCGACTAGTAGTGACTGAGTGACTGACTGCACTGTTCCCTTTGAAACGAGACTTAAGTTAAGAGAAAAGCTAACACTGTTTGAAATAAACATGTGCATAATTCAAACATTTAATTTCCATTTACTGCATTTAATTATTTTATATATAGTTTTATAATTTTAATTGTTTTGTTTCTAGTTTTAAATTCACATATTTAAAGATTGAAATTAAATTTTTTAATTAGAATACTCGTATTAGGGTGAAAAATCTTTCTAATTGCCTAAAAGGTCAATACAATCTCAACCTCTCAATATACAGGGTGGGGCAGAACTGATTGAGCAGTTTTGAGGAAAAATAAAAGAGTAATGGAGGTACATAGAGAAGAAAGTTAATTTTCATAGAGGTTAGCATAGCATACCATTTAGAATACTTGTTTTGAAAACAATATCTGGAAGATGGGGCCGTTAGCTGCAACACACTGTTGGAGTCGTTCTCAGAGTAGGGAGTAACCGTGACAGTGAATTCCGAACGCTATGCTGCAATGTTGCAAAATTTCTTGCAGCCCAGGAAAACATTGTTGAAAATGAAGCATTGGGAGACGTGTGGTTCCAGCAGGATGGGGCTACAGCTCACACAGCCTGAATATCACTCAATGTTTTGGATCGCATGTTTCCCGGACGTCTGGAGTTTCTGAGGGGTGATTTACAGTGGCCTGCGTGGTCACCTGATTTGAGCATTTGCAATTTCTTTCTTTGGGAACATCTAAAAGAAAGGGTGTTCAGAAGTCACCCTCACACCCTACCACAGCTAAGGGAACCGATTATTGTAGCAGTGGTTATGGCCATACCTCGCCATGTGTGAACGTGCTGTAGGAAACTTCCGAGAATGACTCCAACAGTGTGATGCAGCTAACAGACACCATCTTCCTGATATTTTTTTCAAAACATAAGTATTTTAAATGGTATGTTACCTCCATTACTCTTTTATTTCGCCTCAAAACTGCTCAATCGGTTCTGCCCCACCCTGTATAAGCTAGCTAACACATTAAAATTGTATATTGTAATCAATATATAACAAATAGTCAAATAGTTAAAGACTACTTATAGCCTTATAAGAATTAGCTAAGCTGCTAGCTATGTACAATGTATTGCAACACTTGATCACTTGATGCCTCTGTACCAAAAACATTCAATTTATTGGAACCTAATACACACTAAAGGCAACAAGTTTATATACTAATTTGTCATTCATAGTACATTCATACTAAACCATGAATAACAATACCGGTACCTCAAAATAAATTAGAGACTGCCACTCAATATATTTAAATATATAAAAAAAATCAAAAAATAATAAGAAATCGAAAAAAATCATGATTCTTTTTATAAAAAAATCAAGAGATTTAATCACATGATTTAATCATTTTGATATAATCATTGCTAACCCTGGTAACGTCCCATGCACATAACGAACTTTTTAAAACTGCAATGAGAACTGTAATACTCGTTACAGTTATAGACAGATCTGATTCAATCGTAAAAAAACTTGTTGAAAACACGGACGAATGTAACAATGAAACCGTGTCTTGAGATTCAATTAAAACCCTTCGTAACTTGCTTGCTGAACTTTCTGCTCTCAATAAAATTTACACCTACGAGTGAAAGTCAGATTAAGTTCTTTTTGCAATTTAGCTCTCCCTCCCAGTTCTCATTTGATGACAGAATTTAAAACAAATTCTCGCGAAGTATCGTTTTTTATTCCTTTCAATTTTTCAATTCCTTCTTATATTCATTTGTTATCATAACCGTACAAGTAGGGATTTTAATTTCTTGTATAAGAAGACGATGGAGACTCGATCTGCAGCTTAGAAAGAAATTCTGCCTCTGCTCCTCAAAGGCGGAATAATTTATTATGAAGGAGCTTCAATATGCAAAAATTAAACTTGTTCCAGTGTGAAAATCTTGCCAGCAATGAATATAGGATATCAATTACATGTCAGGCAATGTTGAACGGTTCTGATTAGAATCCCCGTGATTCAAAAATATGTCGCCAAGAACTGCTTGACGTGAATCTTCACTCGTGTATTCATACAATAGACGAGCCCGGCGAGACCGAACACATTACATCTGCCACAGCTGTCCACGCTGAAACTTCTGCTGTTCACGCTAAAACATCTGCTTTCCGCGCTAAAACATCTGCTGCCAACGCTAAAACATCTGCTTTCCACGCAAAAACATCTGCTGTCCACGCTAAAACATCTGCTTTCCACGCAAAAATATCTGATTTCCACGCTAAAATATCTGATGTCCGCGCTAAAACATCTGCTTTCCACGCAAAAACATCTGCTGTCCACGGTAAAACATATGCTTTCCACGCAAAAACATCTGTCCATGCTAAAACATCTGCTTTCCACGCAAAAAGATCTGATGTCCACGCTAAAACATCTGCTTTCCCCGAAAAAAGATCTGATGTCCACGCTAAAATATCTAATTTCCGCGCTAAAACATCTTTCCATGCAAAAACATCTGATGTCCACGCTAAAATATCTGCTATCCACGATAAAACACCGGCTAATCACGGAAAAACATCTTCAGTCCATGCTAAGACATCAGCTGTTAACGCTAAAAACATTTGTTTTCCACGCTAAAGCATCTGCAGTTCGCGCTAAAACATCTGTCGACGCTAAAACATCTGCCTCCAACGCTGAAAAATCTGCTGTTCACTCTTCAACACCTGTAGTTCACGCTATAATTCTGTCTGAATGTTCTAAGTGTTAGGGAGCTCTGCGTTCAATGGGACGAAGTTCGAATTTCGAAGCTATCTGGAACTCATGAATTTATTTTTCAATTTTCACTTTATAATAGTTCCTTTTTCAGTCTGCTTGATGAAGCAGACTATACAGTCTAGTATAGTATAGCATAGTATCTTCGGCATTGTCACAGGTTGTGATTTACTACAAACTATGATATTGAACTCATTATATTAAGCTCTACCTGAGGATCGGGTTCGTTGACTAACGTAGTGAAGGATAAGTTAGATACATGTGTCCAGATAACGTATCTTGTATACGGGGTGGTAATACAGAGTTATAAGCTACGGCATCGACCGTGAGGTCGGAGAACTCTACCGACACGTTACATCGCGGAGTGCTCATCAGCTACTGGGGGCTCTGCTTAAGGTTGCTAGACCTTTTATAAGTTTCTCTTCCGCCCACTACTGAGGTCTTCATCGCGTGATCTATCACGTGTCTATCAGATGTTGACTCGTCCTCAATCTCTATCAGGTCAAGTGAATTGACACCGGACAGCATTGAAGAATAGGCCTGGATAGGCCTGTCGCCGATTATTGTATTTTTCTTGACTAGACTGGCCTTTTGATCAAATCTTTTCAACGTAACGGTACGATTAGAATCGTTTCAAGATTTCAGTTGTTCCGTCGGATACGAGGCATTTAAAGACGAAACATATGCTCCTGCATGGCCTTGTCTAGTCTGTTCTTGAACACGTTCATACTCGGAGCGTCAACAATGTCTTCAGGGAGGCTGTTCCACTTGTCGGTGACTCGAAGCGAGAAATGTTGTCGCGTGGATGAGTTGCACCGCAGTTTTTTAGTTTATAGCTGTGGCCCCTGGTGTTTGTTCTTGTTTCAAATTCTAGTAATCCTCCAGGGACCTTGTACAAACCATGAGTATACGTGTATACTTCTTCAATGAGGTCACCATGCAGGCGACGATAACGGAGACTGAGAAGACTAATAATCTTCAATCTTTCTTCATAGGACTTGCCCTTTAAGCATTTGGAATTATCCTTGTCACACGTCTTTGAACACTCTCCACTAAATTTTTATCCTTTTCAAGTCTCGGTGACCAAACAACGTTTCCAAACTCAAGGTTTGGGCTCACGACAGAGGTGAACAACGGCTTCATCATTTCTATATCTAGGTACTCGTAGGAGAATCTGATCAGCCCAAGCAGTTGATTGGACATCTTAAATTGCGTTTCAGTATGCCTAGGAAATTTTAGCTCCTTGTCGACACAAACTACAAGATCTTTTTCCATGCAAGACTTCTCAATCATAACCTTCTCGTTGCAACCATACCATGTCTTCTCATACTGTAAGCTTGCTGTTCATTTTTCTTGCCGAGGTGATGTACTTTACACTTGTCAGCATTGAAACGCATCTGCCACGCATCGGCCCAGTCAATTAAACTATCAAGATCATTCTGCAATTGCATTTTATTTGACACATCCTTAACTGTATTATAAACTTTTGTGTCATCGGCATACATGGAGCACACGCTTGACACGGTACTTCTGGTAGATCGTTTATAAAAGCGACGAACAAGACGAACAAAACCGGCCCTATACGCTTCCTTGCGGTACGCCACTGCGCCCAGTTGCCCAATCTGATATGGTTCCGTTAATGCAGACACGTTGTCTTCTGCCTACTCGGAAATTCCTGATCCATTCGAGGGGGGCGCAGCCGTAGGCCACAAGTTTTACTCTCAAATAAGCCCTGGAGCTAACGCATAGCTTCACTATCACACCATGCATTAACTTTACTCAGCCTCAGAAATAGAAGCCGCCGACTACGCTTGAACTCCGTAATCCAGACAAACGACACACTGCCGAAAGAAAATAGCGCCGTAGGTCTTCAGCCAATGCTTAAGAGGCCCGTTCACGGACGCTCCAACTCTAAACTCGGCACACTGCGGCGAAAGCAGTGTAAATTTCAGCGGCAGCGTCTGGCAGCGTAGTGACGGGGCCGAAGGTGCGCGATAATAGTGAAGTATGAGATACACATTAATTGTGCATGGATTTTTTAGTTTCGTCGAGGCAAACATTTTAATTACTATGTATTTAAATTCTCTCTGTTTCCCGAGTTAGCGCAAAATTTCTCATCTTCACTGCAGACAGCGGCTTATTTTTCACTAATAGATAAACCGTTCGCTGCCGACAGGAGAAATTCAGTGCACTGCGAACAGTGTCCACCGGTCTATTCTGATCATTTAGACTGTTCATGATTATATGCAACTACGATCATTTAGTTTCTTACTCAAATATTGGCTGGCTCAGAAATACGTTCGCACATTGAACAAAGCCATAAAACTAAAGTGTAAGTCGATAAAATTATTTAATTACATTCCTGACATCGATCTGTTCACTTATCGAATGATTTCCAAAAAATAATCACATGGTTACTTTGGGAGGCAGCTGAGAGCTTTCTCTTCTCTTAGCTAGGCCGAACTGGCCTAGGCCGTTCCTTCCTCCCCAAAACAGAGGGGGAGGAAGGAACGGATAAATACACCGAGTTAAGGAATACGCCTGCTGCGCTAAACCCATGACGCTCTACCCAATTCCCTCCCTACCTCCCAATTGTTCTCACATTGTCCTCCCCTACCTCAATCGTCTTCTGTGTTATTATCTCAGCCGGTTATCGTTGCCTCAACAACGCTGCCGAGGGATGTGGTACGGTATCGCCGTAGCAAATTGTCACGGCATATACTGTGCGCTGTAAAAATTAGTTTCTCACTTATTTGTGAATGCAATTGACCACTGTTGTGGACGATTACTGCCCCAAGTGCTCGGTTTCGAAGCTGTTAGTCAAGCTGAAATTGATTCTTTTACCGCAAATGGCTTTGGAAACTCGGGCGTTATAATGTTCTACACGGTTACTGTCCAAATCATGCAGTAGACTTTCTGCATGGTCCTTCACTCTATTCAGTATTTTCATTATAGCCTGAAAAATTCCAGTACAAAAATAATTGCCGGTTATTGAACACCTCGCATGATCGCCGAAAACATGTCTGGCACAGTTCAAAATGTCTGTACGCAATCCGCTAATTCTTTCCGCTTCGTTTTTACCAGTCAGATTTTTGTGATGTTTGATTGCACCCGTCACGGTCATCATCAGTAGCGGTACGGTCATGGCCATAGTCAGTAGCGGTACGGTCACGGTCATCATCAGTAGCGGTACGATCACGGTCATCATCAGTAGCGGTACGATCACGGTCATCATCAGTAGCGGTACGGTCACGGTTATCATCAGTAGCGGTACGGTCACGGTCATCATCAATAGCAGTACGATCACGAACATCATCAGCAGATTTACGACAAGCAAGTTCGGACGAGGCATAATCGTAAGTGAAGGCAGAGCCACCATTCCGAAAAACGGTTGTTATAAATTGAACGATTCGACATTTGACATCTTTATCAAAGTTGAGACAACAGCTATGAAGACAGAGCTACTGAGAAAGGCAACCGCGGGGATGCGTGGCGACCGCTGTATAGTTCGGTTTCTGTCAACAATACGGCGGCGAAGCTTTCACGTAAGGAACGGTCTTTTAGGACAGTCTTACTACTCAACGAAAATAAGCATCGGATCAACATTTCTGCTAAATAATAAATTCGAGTGATTTAAACTGATGGATTTCCAACTTTGATTGTATTGCCCTTTTCCTGTGCTTGAGATTATGTTTTACTAGAGATTGAAAATTTGCATATCGACATGAACGCTGCATTGATTGCATTGTAGTTTGAATTGTGTTGTTTATGCATTCGTTTGCTTCATATTTTTAAACGCAATTAAGATTATTTCTCCGTAATCATCGTAACGCATGCCATTTATTTACGACGAGCTTAACAATATTTACATATTATTGACTATGCATGCAAACATGTATTGTCAGTCTTGGCCTTTAAAAAGTCACAACAGCACCAGACAAGCACTTTGAAAGCTGAGTGGACTGCAAGGTGTGTGGGGAGGGGAGAGGGAGGATGTTTACCGCGGGCTCACAGAAGATTTATTACCAGAAGACAGACCTGCCTTTCCTGCCAAGTACGACAACGAAGGGGCAAATCTCGATTAAATCTACGGAAAATTCACGGACCTGTTGTTAAAAACGAATATAACTACCACCAGAAAAATAATTCAGAAATGCTTGGTATAGCGATCAATGAAGAATAACGAGTTAAACAAACTGGTATCGCGAAAACGTTAGAAAAGTCGCTCGTTTTACGATCCTCATGGTTCAAAATTTTCGTTAGCGATAACACTGGTAATACAAAGTTTATATAATTTATCTTAATGTCCACAGATTGAAAATAATTAGCCAGGATAGCATTCAAAATTTCAGATTTTTATCTTATTTATGAGGGGAGTTATCTGTCGAATTCATAGTTAAGAATTTCCATAGACGACTACCGCGGCTAAGCGCGTTGAACGGGCCTCTTAAGCATGTTCGCTCATAAGCAGGTAGTTCCTCATCCGGCTGTACCTACTTCGGCCTAACCACTTCTGGTCTAATCTATTCACGCTGTCCCGGTTCACAACCTTCTTGCAGCCAATCACTGGCTCTACCAGCACACTTGGACCGCTTTTCTAACTTCTTCCAGCCAATGAGGTTAAGTTAGCTCCGCTCAAGTTGGTTTTGGATGGAGAAAGGATGTAGCTCGTATAGGTTAGGCCTGAAAAGTTTAGACCTGAAGAGGTTAGGCAAGGAGAGGTTTGGCCAGATGCAGTTTGGCCATGTTTACCTTTGGCAAGCTTATTTAGTGGCTGTGGACATTGGCTATGGCTTTGAGTTTAAGGTGCCACCGTGCCGGTAACGACTAGATACCGGCATGACGGAACCTTAAACTTGCCTCGTGTCTAAGCTTACTTGCGGGATAGACAACAAGCGGCAGACATTTGGCATTTGTCAGATCTAATTTCTGCCAGTACTGTCCTCGTGTACAAGCACCTTAAGCTAGTAATTTCTCGTTCAATAATTTTTTCAAGCGTTTTACTGTATTAAACTAATATTTCAATCCTTATTTTCTAAATTTAGTTTTGCGATTTATAAATCTAAAAAAAATTTTGATAAATTTAAATTTTGTACCATGTATGAACGCGTTCAAGAACAGACTAGATAATGCTGTGGAAGAATATATGTCAAGACTTGAAATGCCTAGCACCGTATCGAAACCGGTGGAAGTCCAGTAAATATTTCAAACTACCGTCAGTCTTGAAAAGATCCGGTCAAACGACATGCTTTTAGAATTAGATCTTCTGTGAACAAGTCACGAAAAGTACAAGAATCGGCGACAGGCCACATCAGGCCTACTCTTCAGCGCCGGCATCACTATGTTATGTTATATTCCAGGAAAGTATTGTAAACTATCTTTTAAAACTCTACTTGTTGGAAGTAATTTTTGGAATAAATACATATGTTTTGAGTAAGTTTAAATCAATTTTCGACCCTGACCTGAACTATTAACCGCAGAAATCACCAAGCTAACGAACGCGCGTTCTTCTCCCGAGACGGAGCATTTGTTTTTCCACCCTGACCTCGTGGGCAAAGACATGCGAGACGAGGCCGTCATCCAGGCAGCTCGAGAGACCCTCATCGCGCCCGCCCGAGAGGGTCCTTACTACCTTGACAACCCGCGCCAGAAGTTCTACTCCCAGGACGGCCAAGACAAATATGTCAAGAAGATTTTCAGGGATATGGTGAGTGCTTATTACTGCTCGGATGCTTGCAGTTTAATTTAACACTACTTCATTGATAAGATATATACAAATTTACAATATTAAATAAGGTTTATGAAAACATATTCTTCCACCTTCACACTAGTCTGAGTACTCTATAGTTTGTGTATTCCAGTTTTGTCTGTCGTTTTGTAATAACCTCTTTTAATTCAATGCAGAAATTGTGAGAGATCATTTTGCATTGTTATTACAAATCTTCAAAATAGTATGGATACTTTTCCCAGCGATTATACAAGTTGAAAGTAACCAATCCATTTCATTGCAGAAAGGATGCTTCTTCTTCGAAGTAGGAGCGTTGACGGGAGAGAGCTTATCTAACACACTGTACCTTGAACGGAACCTCGGCTGGACGGGCGTTCTGATGGAGCCCACGCCCGTCAGCTACCACGTCCTCAAGAACAAGAACAGAAGATCGCACATCATGCGGGCGTGCCTCGCTCCCGACACCAGCAACAGGGAACCTGTTTATGAGTTCGTGATTCACACTAGCATGCACGCTTTCTTCCTTATAAAATTCGGGGTCCGCCTAGACTTCTGCCCAGGAGTCGCTACACTCGACTTTCAAGTTTTTATGTGTCTTCTTGGCCACCAGATCGAAACCAGCTTTTGGTCAGAATATCCTTCTTGACTTATTATATAAAAGTCGGTAAGGATATAAGTCGCCTGATATTAGGAGAAATGTTAGCTGAGCCGAGACACACCGGGCTTGCAAGCTGCTTATAGGGTGCCTTTTCAACCCTGAGCCGAAGCCTACTTTATTGGAGCGGCTGATGTACGAGTCCTAGGCGGCAACTATTTCAAAGTCGGGCTCGCATCTAAATTTTGTTAGGGCAAGAAACAGGGTTCTGTTTTAAATGTTAATTATTGACCTAGAGTTTGCGGCTAACAATTAACAAAAATTTTCCATTCGTGGCTTTGTGTTAGTAATGAACTGGAGAATCTGGAAGATTCTATTACCATGGAAAAAACATTTACGAAAGTTTAAAATTTCGTGAGGGGCATTATTAATACTCCACAATGCAATCAATTATTGCTCATTTGTCCATTTACCGTCCGCAGGATAGGCTCGCATTTGGCCTCAACAGCGCCCTACCGGGAGCCTAAAACGAAGCAATCGAACATATCACACCTTACTCGTGAGTCTCCGTATGTCCTCATTGATGACTCGTTCTTAAGACAGATTTTATACAACATGCCATTCCCTTTCCCTCTGTTTGTGAATTTGTAAAAAATTGCGCGTGGAGGAAAAAAATTTTTCCGCGTTTAATGTTTACGTGCTTTTTTAGACTACAATAAATTAAGTATGGTATTTTCATTAATTATTCGCTCATTTCAAAGAAAAATATGTCATATAAAAAATGTGACATATGTTACCGAATGCCTATATAATTTTTGTATTAAATACAACTCAAATTAGCATTTTTTTAGTTCAGAACCAACTGGGCGTAACGCGAGACTTTAACCTATCCGCAATAGCCCAACCATAGCTCGTCACACTTCTTGCAGTTCAACACAGTCACCGACAGGAGAATAAAGGCCATCAAACATGAAGCTTTCATTAAACAATGACAAAGTTAAAAGATTGTATGTAAGTGGAAGACTTCGGGTCAAGTCTTCAGAGGTCTCCCTGTATGAGACAAAAGTATTACAGACACTAAACGTACACAATGGGTCATACCTAAAACCAAATCATAAAAACTAAGAAGACCTTTTCACACCTATAGCAATACGGTTTGACAGCATACTAATATATTACAGCTACAGGTCACAATATTGGTCATATCTAAAAATATTAAATTATCCCGTGCACAGTACACACCTGTCCCGTATGGTGGCGCAGATCGAGTGATCCTATCGAGCTACTATTCCGCAATACAGAGTGGATCCGGCAACATCGCACGGACGTTCGAAGCTATTTGATTAAAAAAGGAACAATATAAAAGACCTATAAATATTGCATTTACCTCCTCTACCAGCTGACTTCGGATGTACAGCAACGGAGCCGGCAACATGGCTGTGTATGGCTCTGAAACGCCCCCAGTCTACAACCTCTCGCTCGTCTCAGTTCCTATTGCCATCGTCGTCAGCCCCAAAGACCAAGTCACACACATCAGTGTGAGTGCAAGCAAGTGAACACAATGATGTAGCATGAATAAAGAATTGTAATAACTAGATTCTTACGTCTACTGACTCTTTTAAAGATAAAGGGAAATAATGTATAACTGCACACGTTGAACAAACATATGTAATGAGAGGGGCTCTACCATGCCCTGCTCTGAAAATTTCAAACTTATCATCGACAGGACAAGAAACATTCTAAATGCTCTCTCATGAATATATCACGTATGTATAACGTAAGAATGATACATTTTCTATTAGTATTTATTTATTGTTAAATCAACCATTGAAAATATTACCAAGAGACGAAGCGCTTTTGCCTGTTTGCCCTCATGCATCTGATAGAGATGACACTCCCAAAGTCACCTTATTTTCCGCCTCCCTAAAAGCCATTTTATCGAGAATTTGAGTATAAAAGTTAACTATATTTTCATTGTACTTTGATTATTATTTCATGACACTAAAAAGCCCGTCTACGATAACGTCTTGCAGTTAATGAGACAATATGAGATCAAATTTGACTAATATTTAAGTAACTTGAGCTAAAATTCTGAGGAATTTTAGTGGTGAAAAATTGATGGTCACTGTCAATTATGGCGATTGATCATCGCTGGTTTTTACTGCAACGATATTTGTAAAGAAACAAATTAACAATTAGTCAGTGAAAAATATGAGATGACAAAAATCACAGAAGTAATGCGTGTTGAGACTATTAGCGGCAATTAAGGGGAGATCTCTAACTCATATCAAGTCCCTTTCTACCTCTAAAGAAGTACGAGTACATTTGACTTATATGTTGATTTTCTCTTCGTTGTTTGACATGATTACTTTTAAAGCGCCGGAGCGAGCTTAGCATCCAGCAATGATTTCTACAATTAGGAGCGTATGTGAAGGACGCCAGCATCAAACCAGAGCGGCGCGACAATCGGGGGCAAACATCCCGTAGCGTCAGTCCAGTGCAGGTGCCTTCCGCTCGTAGCATTTCGTCTCATAAGATGATAAGATTTCGTCTAGGTTGCCAGCAACCAAATCTTACGGTCTATTGTAACTTTCATGTGTTTTTTAAAAGTTTTTCGAACTTCATATTTTTTCATTTTTTATGTGAACACTTTACAGTAATTGAACTGGAGTTCAAGTCGAGTTCCATCATTGATTTTTGTTTATATCCAATTTAAACTCGATACTTCTTTTGATAAAGGGAATCAAAGTGAAATTACTTTCATGTGTGAAATTACTTTCTCATGAAAATCTCAACAATAGACCGACATATGAAAGTACTTTAATTCATGTGTGAAATTACTTTCGTGTGTTTTTTCACACGTTATTCGCACTTCAAATTTGTATATTTGTTTGAACACTTGACGGTAATTGAACTCCAGTTCAAGTCGAGTTCTATCATTGATCTTTTTTTATATCCAATTTAAAGTTGATACTTCTTTTGATAAAGGGAATTACGATCTGACGATTGTTATAAATGCGATTTTAAGACGTGGGTTTTTTTTGTGTTTATGCTAAAAACTCGGAAACGTTCTTATTATGTTTTCTTAATGACGCGATTATTATGGTTTAGAGAGTGTGTGAAGAGTGGTAGAAATAGTTGAATGCAGTATGGACAGGAAGTGCTACAGATGTAATCAATAGTGTGTACAAAGATAATCAAATTTTGAACGTTGTGCTCAGCGAGAGTTTCACTGCCAACCTTGTGTTAAACATGATATTTATAATAATCCTAATCCGCGATAAATTATCGAGAAAGGAGTCAGGAATAAAATAGAACCTTGTGATTTATTATCTTAGAAAGTCTACAATAAATTTCCAAGCTTGAAACTGCAAAAAAAGACGAAAAGTAAATCCATTTTACTCAATTGTTCACACCCGCGAAGCTAGGGTCTTGTTTACGCTCATTGTACAAGTTATAAAATTTATTTCTGTACATTTTTAGAAAGAGCTCATACGAATACTCATAATTTATCTGCATTAGATACATTATATTTTCTTTACTTGGCCAGGTGGAAAACAAAAACAATGTACTTAGAATGCAAAAAATATTAAATAGCGACACAAGTGGATGAAGAAAAGTAAAGGTATTAACAAATGTTGTTTACCCTTCGAAACAACCACTTACGTCAAAGCTCCAAAAATATTTATTAAATAATCGACAGGTCTCAATTTTTAAGGTGGAAACTGAATAAAGTGAATTTCAACATTAAGTGATGAATTTTATAGTTGATCACAGTCGTCACTGATGATATTCAAGTCGATGTCCATTATTAAACTAAAAAAAAAAACATCCCAAATCGGAGCCTGCTGTGGCCTGGGTCTAAAAACCCAACCCAAGGCCCATGTCAAGGTTTCCTAATGGCGGTCGTTTACACGGGAATGTTTTTTCTGTTTACTCAGACATATGGATTAGGCTCATAAAGAACTGGATTTAAAGGTCAATTTTTCATCGAAGTTTCTGAGCTGAACAGACTCGTGTATAAATATGTTTTGTGTATCTCTGAATTCACAAAAGCACACCGAAAAATCTTCTCTTATAATTGACCGGAACTTGTAAACATTAACTGATATTCCAATCAATTGCGTAACAATATCGAATTTATTAAAATACGTTTTTCCGGTTATGCATCATATCACGTTTTTTTGGTGCACTGAAAGTATTTAATTGCTAAAGCTATATCATAGCCGGTGCGCACTCAGTTATTTTTCGAAATCATCGGATTTATTTTAATAAATAATGGATACCGGTGAATACGAATCCATGTCTACTAAATATCCACATGTTGACAATAACTCATGTGTAATTAACTAAGTGAAAAATAAACATTACTATGTGTGTGTAAAAATCTTGTAGGTCTTTAAGGTCGTAGAGGACAGTTAATGAACGCACGGATTCGTATATATGATTTTTGACCGGTTTCTGGAAATCAATAAAAAACGTAACATAAGAAGCAAATCTAAAAATCTGCGTATAATGACAGTATTCATATTCTTAGCATATCTGTACAAAAAACAAATAAATATTACCAAATTACTAGAGGTTCGGCACGTGTACATAGCTCAGCTGACAGAAAAAAAAAACGAATAATATGGAGCTCGCACAGGTCAACTGTGTACAGTCGGCTCAGAAGTGGTGCGGAACGTAGAGCTTTAATAGCTAGTGTGTGCTGTTTTTAAACACAAATAACAATGTTTTTTAATTACTTTTCTATTTGTCACGCTAACAATTCAAATCTCGAGGCTGTTTTCATAAAGGGCAAGCGTTTTAGGTGCAAGTTCTAGCAATTTAAGGATCGGAAACCAAATTCATGGCATGAGAGTAAAACTGAAGCTCACGATGTTCTTGCTGAATAACATTTGGCACGAGTCTACGGCCAGCATTTGTGCTGGCGGTCAATATTTCTTTTGCGAAGACCAGCCAAATGTTCTTCGTTCCGTCATTTACGCTGAATATTTTAGGCGAGGTTTTTAAAAATTTCGCTTCATCTGCAGATATTTTTCATGTGTTTTGCATGGATTGATTTTATTCCAATAATGAGATGGAAAATACATTGCAAAAAACAATGATGTCATGTGTAAGAAATGCTTCCAGTTCTAAATTTAATTCTTTGACCATTGAAGTTGACTTTTAGTCAACAGGCCATACCTATGAACTCCCAAGTCTATAGGCACTGTATTTTTCACGAATTGCATTGACGACGATTAATGTATGCGTAGACAAAAGGTTGATACAAACGTCGATTACAAAAAGTTGAATGCTAAAAAGTATACAGCAAGACCCTGAGATGCTAATAAACAAGGATAAATGTTCGATATCCCGTGCGTAATTATGAAATATATTTTCAGCGACCTGTGCACGTCGGATGTAAAATTTTTAAAATGAATTTTAGAGCTATTACTGTGAAACTTTTCCTTCTCGTGACTACTTTTACTTCAAGCTTTGGTCTCTTCACGAATGTATCTCTATCTACAATTTTCAACGAAAACAAACCTCTTGTTGGGTTTGCGTTGACTACCCTTGGTAAAATATTGAATCCGACCGCGGCTTCGACAACCCAGAGGCCAGCGGGCTTCACGTCAAAGTTGACGAAACTCCTGGCCAGCCTCCTGAATATCCCGCCTGAGGTCTACTTTAGCACAGTAAGTTCTGCCATTGCTTCATATGGGTTTATCCGTTCCGATAATTAATCGCCTGTGTTTTGATTCAAGCCTCAAGAATGGTCTTCCGTATACTATGTCTATTGACAACTAATTTTCGATTGTAAACACGCTTTAACACTTTTTTATAAGTATTTTTTTTTTCAATATCTATTTTCACTGTGTTATAATCCAATTACAAGAGATGTACATTCGCTGTATGACTAGTACCTATTTAACATTTATAAATGTTATATAGGTACCAATAAGTGTAAATTTGCGAGGCGTGATTGAGAAAGGATTTCTAACAATTTAGGCTCCCTGTGAATTTTAACAATTTCTCAATGAGAAGTCTGTAATTCCTAATTTCATGTAATAAACAGATTTTTAAAATTCATACCGAGGTTTAAGACTCTATGTGTTCCACAAAGCTGTTAATGCAAGCATAAGAGCTAAATGCAAATTTAGTTCCTATTTAGCTGATGCAGTGACAGCAATAAGTGGTAATTTGCTCGTAGGCATTTTTATCATTTCCAAAGTATGGGCTTCAGTTGAGTTGAGAAATTACGATCAGGGCTAAAGGTACGCTGCATTTCAGGCAATTGTCAGTCACAGTATCACTAAACAGCATGAAACATTTGTTGCTGATCCCTTATGAGCTCTAAATAGGCATTTTAAAACAAATTGGACCACATAAACTCTCCATTTCTAGAGGGTCCTTAGGTTGAATTAGGTATATACAGTGGGGGGAAATAAATATTCGTACACTTGAAAAATTAATTTAAATCACTTTTCCTGTTAAGTTTGTGTACTTACATACATTAAAATACGATTTTTCAAGTGTACGAATATTTATTTCCCCCCACTGTATATGATTCATAATCTGCATCCACTTTCATCGAATTGTACAAGAATAATATATTCAAGCGTTTTAATCGCCGTTAGTATGTTTTATAAAATAAATTAAGTGGAAACGATGAACAAATTTGTCATTAAGCACGTTTTCACTTACTATCACACTCCTATACTGGTTATCAAGCACGGTTAAATTAAGATGATTCAATAAAAAGAAAGATAATTTTTGAGAAAACAATATCGTGTGAGGCTGAACTAAACTAAAACTTTTGTGTATTTGCAAAATAAAAATTGGCACGAAATATTTTATATTATTGATAAATACAACCACAATAATTTTAATATGGAGTAGATTAATACTTGAAATTTAACGACAAACTTCACAGCACCAGCACATTCTTCAACAAGGCTACCCGGCGGAGGAGCACTTCGTGGTCACGCCAGACGGTTACATTCTGACCGTGAACCGCATCCCCGGACCACGTCACTCGCGGGGCAGAAGTCGTTCCCCCGACGTGGTGCTCATGATGACGGCAACCCTCAGCTCATCGTCCGACTACATCGTCAGCTCACCCAATCACTCACTTGGTACGATAGAACTCGCTATCACCGCATGATCCCATGCTGTCAACATTTTAATTCCTAATTCTTTTATTCTAGAGATAGATCGCATAGCTTTTTTTAGATGGTTGAATACATATGGTATGCTCTATTGGAATTTGTTACAATTCGCAGCCTTATTCAAGAGGCCGATTGATTATTCAAGAAGTTGCTTCGAAGACAATTGAAATATTACGTACAGATTGAGAGTTTTTCAGAACGTGTTCAGTGTTACGAGTTGATTTCAAGTAATATTGTATGCAATTCTTGACTTCGCAGCCTACCTTCTGGCGGACGCAGGCTACGATGTCTGGCTTGGTAACGTCCGAGGCACAAGAGATGGACGGAACCACACGCGCCTCAATCCAGACAAGGACAGGCGCTTCTGGAACTTCAGGTACACTCTCTATACGCGCTAGAATTTATCGAAGGTTGAAGCTTTCAAGTAGAATGCATTCAAGAATAATTATGAAAGATACTAATCTATCAAAGGGAAAAGGTATTTCCGTACAATACTAGTAAAACGATTATTTCGCAAAGAAATAGAACATCGTATAAAATGATATTTATTCCTATATACAAAGTTTGAAAGTGGCTGTAATTTTTTTGCTGCGATGGCAATTTCATATATTAAGATAATATTTTAAATTTTTAACTTGTTTCATAATTTCATTACTTGTCAGTGGCTGATAATTATAATCATATTAAATAACAAACCAGCTTTGATTAGGTCATGTTAACCTATTCCCGATTCTTAACCACAAGGCACTCTTTACGATTTCGGCCAAATTTTTACAATTAATCGCATTTTTCGGACCTCCAACTCTACGCTCCAATCTTGGTTTTCCAACCATTTTGGTTTCCAGTAATTATCCAAAACATTATTTTTCACATGGGTCTAAATTTTTGGAAAGCAAGTATGTAAAATTTCTTGAACGGCACAGTATAGACGACGTCGCACGCTACGACTACCCGGCCCTTGCCTCGTACATCACACGCCATGCGGGGGTCGAGCGTTTCTTCTTCGTCGGGTTTTCTGCCGCCAACCGATGCCTCTTCATGTCGGCGTCGGCGCCCAACAGCTTCATTGACAAGGTCTTTTTGAAACTGAAATTTGAGAAGACATACGAGTTATTTTTCGGGGAAGGGGGGGGGGAAATTGTGTAATCATTGAATCATTGAAGACCAGTCTTTTTCACAAATGGAATGAAAAATATAATAGCTGTGGAGAATGCGGCGACCTGATTTGAAAAAAAAGTCCTTTCTTAAAATTATACCACAGAAGTACAATATATTCAAATGAACCAGACTACGAGGCATGTTCCTGCTCAACAGATTCGTTTATCGGTGAGCCTCGCACCCGCGCTGGGCACTGAGCAATCTTCTCCATTTATGAGCTTCTTCTCTAAGATCTTTAGCGGGATCAGGGTAAGTCATGTATCGGCTTTCTAACTACATTTATGGGGTATAAGTAACTGAAAATATTTTTTAGCTGAAATGAGTTCCGTGGATGAATTACGTCTATTAAAGCACTCAACACGTATGAACAAACAAATAAGTTTTAACTCTTCGCTAAACGTTAGAATCTTTCCTTGTACTAAGAGGAATGCCAGTTTCACCTAATAATTTCATTTAATCTAAGGCTGAGTATCTTTAATACGTTCAGGGAGCCGTAGAAAAGTTCAATGGCGGGCAATTTTATCACGGCAACGACTTCATGATGTCTTTGATTTACATCGCGTGCAGCGACCGCAGCAAGCTTCGCCCGATCTGCCTTCGTCTCATAGCCACTATCATGGGCGGGATGCATTCAGGATACGATGGAAAGGTCAATAAAACTTTTGTAGTGTTTTTTTAAGATGATTTATATCATCGATTTGGATAGTTCGGATTATTCGTATTAACAGTATATACAGTATTTCGTACAACACATTCCGGATTTGAGTAAAATAATTGATTTTGTAAAAAATAAAAATAATAGATCGTCGAAGTAAATTCTATTTAACTCTGACAGGATAAACTGGCGTTCGCCATGAACAGTGTTCTATCGGGCACCTCGAACAAAGCTGCGCAGCATCAAGCTCAGATCAACACGTCTCGTGAGTCACCGTCTCGAAGAGCTGACAAGTTCATGAAACGGTTTTGTATATAGCATAGCATATAGAATAGTGAAGTCGGCGCTGAAGAATAGGCCTGATGTGGCCTGTCGCCGATTCCTGTACTTTTCGTGACTTGTCCATAGGAGATCTAAAAACAGGTCCTTCTACCGGATCTCTTTCAAACTGTCGATAATTTGAAATATTTACTAGACTTCCACCGTGTTCGATATGGTGCTAGGCATTTTAAGTCTTAACATATGCTTATCCATAGCTTTATATAGTCTGTTCTTGAACGCGTTTATAATCGGAACGTCAAAGATGTAATCGGGGAGTCTATACCACATGTGGGTGATTCGAAGCGAGAAGAAATGTTGTCGCGTGGATGTGTTGCAGCGCAGTTTTTTATATACCGATTGTGTTTTAAGGTTTATGCGTTGAATTTAGACCAGTGGGGGAAATCTTTGTCAACGTTTTACTCAATGGATATACCAGTAGGTAGAAAGGGAGCCCATCATCGCACAGTTCGCATAAACAGCTTAAAATCTCAGGTTACCGATCATTCACCCACAATCTTAAGATTGAGCTGAATGGCAACGATATAAAAGACATTTGTTAGCAGGTGGTATCAACACGATGGCTTCGAACCACTATTCGATGTAGAATATTCTTGCTATGCTGATGCTTGAATAAGCGAACCTCATCAGCTAAGTGTTTTATTCGCTTAATAATTGCTGGTTGTTATAGGCGTTGAACTGACGAGGTGCACGGAGTTGACGGGTCTTAGTAGCTAAGTGTTTTATTTGCTTTATAATCGCTGGTTGTTGCAGAAGTTGGACTGAAGAGATGGAGTTGATGGAACTTATTAGCTAAGTATTTCATTCGCTGGTTGTTGCAGGCGTTAGACTGAAGAGATGGAGTTGATGGAACTTATTAGCTAAGTATTTCAGTCGCTTTATATTCGCTGGTTGTTGCAGGCGTTAGACTGAAGAGGTGAATTTGACGGATCTTATTAGCTAAGTATTTTATTTGCATTATAATTGATGGTTGTTGCAGGAGTTGGACTGAAGAGGGGGACTTGACGCGTTTTATTAGCTAAGTATTTTGTTCGCTTTATAATTTGTTTTCGGTGGGCACTGGAACTGCGGAGGAAATTCCGAAACAAAAAAAGTAAAGATTTATAATACCTGCAGATTAACATCCTATGACTACATCTACGATAAACAAACACGTCAAATGAATGGCCTGAATGATGTGGGATAAATTGGCATTTTTCAGAAAGATTTTCAATGGAATAGTTAATATTGGAATTATAGAATCATCATCAAACGTTTCTTTCAATACCTGATATAAAAACGTTAGAAAGATTGAATTGAATATAGGTCGTAGAATTTTTTTCTGATTATCTTAGAGAATTTTTGTTTAATTTCTTGTAAAGATTTTTCATGCTTGAAATTTGAAGTTTTCAATCAATATAAATATTTATCTCAAGTACCTCTTTCCCATGGATCCACGCAGCTGCTATATCGTGGGATGATGTTCGAAGCATTGATTTATTTCCTCAATCCTGCCTCGCATCGTTAAATTTAATAGCCGTCTTACGTATTGATGAAGATTTCTCGTGAATGGCCATTTTATCTTATACGTTAGCACTGTCACAATTTGATATGATTTCTCATCTCTTAACGTATTATCTATCGTTGCCACAACTTATATCAGATCAAACACTAGCAGTATACAGGGTCCGCCATAGTTATGGCAACGCATGTTTTTTGTTATTTCTCAATGAAACAAAATGGTGCATTGTTTTTTTATTGGATGAGCTAGTAGCCAAGAATTACCTAAACAATTCTAAGACATATTTATTCAATATGACCACCCTTATTTTTAATGACGGCCTCCAATCTACGCGGGAAAGCTTCACAGGAGACACGCAGCATTTCTTGAGGGATCAAGTCCCATTCTCATGTCAATTTAGACTTCAAACTATCCAAAGAATCGTGAGGTTTTCTGCAGACCCTACTCTCTAAAATAGCCTACGCAGAAAAGTCGAGAGGATTCAAATTAGGGCTATTTGAGGGCCATTCATTTTTGCTAATGAACCCTGGGATGTGACCCTGAATCCAATGTTGGGTCATGTGTGAGCCATGTGATGAGGCAGAGTCTTGTTGAAAACTCCATGGTGAGCCGTTGAAGTGTTTACGGGCCCAAGGTAACAAACAACACAGATTCCAAAATGTCCGAAATATATCGCTGACTGTTCAATTTCACTACTGAGGGGATAAAAACGAGTGGCGGTTACCGCGACCCAAACCATCACGGACATGGGATTTTGAGGTCATCTTGCTGTTCTGGTTGCCACAGATCCATCCCGACTCCAAACTCTGTCATTTTGACGGTTAACGCTTTGTTCAATGTCAAATTTTTCTCGTCACTGAACACCAAGTTGGGCAGCGTGCCATCCTCAATGAAATCCAGAATGTGCTGGCATCTTTCGAGCCTCATTCGTTCATGACGGTCTGTTAGTTTGTGCTTGTTTGCATCTGGTAAGGGGAGGTTTTGAGGTCATCTTTGAAGACTCAACCCATTGATGTCAGACTGACTCCTGCTTCTGCAGCCAATTTTGCAGCTGAGCGACGAGGGTTTCTCCTCAACTTTTCCCTCGTGTTTTTGACCAATTGTTTTGTTCGGACACTTCGTTTCCTTCCTTGACCAGGTCGACTGCATGTTTCACCAGTTTCCTTGAAATTTTTTACCACCTTTCACACTATTTCACGACCAATTTAGAGCTTTTTTGCAATGACTGAATTACTCTCGCCTTTGTCATGAAGGGTTCTAATTGCATTTCTATCTACTGCCATAAGTAATAGTAGTAAATTTAGACACCTTATACTTCTGCAATATAGAAAAGATGCATTAATAGATGATATTAAGCTTCATTTTAAAAGAAAAGTCTCCTAGGAACCAATTTATTTTATATAGCAAACATCCGCTGCCATAAATATGGCGGATCCTATACTGTATCAGCTTACCTGATTCAGGATCACACTGTATGAAATTTTGCATTCCAAAGAAGTATGTATATTCCATCGTAATAAAGTGATGAGCTTAATTACACAGAGTGTAGATCAGGCTTCGGCACAGCAGGCAATGACATTTTTAACCACAGTTAAAAGGCTAAGATTCGCAGCAAGATTGTGGGTAAATGATCGGCAACCTGTGATTTAAGCTGTTTATGGAAATTGTGATGATGAGCTCCCTTTTCTACCTACTTATACCTATGTCTCTTTTATTTATGAATGATTTATCTCATAAACTTTTTTGTTATCAGCTGTTTTACGGATGTTCAATTACGGAGCTGGCAACATGGCCGCGTACGGCTCGGAGAAGCCGCCAGCTTACAACCTCTCGCTGGTCTCCGCTCCTGTAGCCTTGTTCGTGAGTCCCGACGACCGACTCATGCCCATCGGAGTAAGTAAAAACCAAGTTGATCATTTGAACTTGAAGTATAAGCATGATATTCATTCTGCGAGTGCACGCGGTGAGTAACCATATAAAAAATTTTTACTATCTTTGTTTATAGTAGGATACTCGATAAGAATATAATAAAATGGCAAATTTAATTCATATGGTATTCATATTTTGACTAAAATGCCATATTTACTTCTGGTAACTTATCATTGGTTGAAAAGTCGACTGTATATAGAAAACGTCAAGTATTAACCACCATCATTTCAAGTTGCAGGCACAAATACAATTTGCCTACACTGACAGCATTGTTTGTCAATTATTTTATTTTCACGAGCATTCTGTGCATTAAAGCATTATAATGCTTTCTATCGATGTGTTAATCATCCATACGTATTCCAGGGCCTGGAAAGTCTCAAGAAAAGTCTCACGAACGTGGTGGTGACTCACTTCATCAAGCAGCCTGACTATGGACACATGGATTTGATATTTTCTGACAGTGCCAAAGAGCTTGTCTACGATCACGTCCTGCCATTAATGAAATTATTTTAACAGAAAGAGGCAATGGCTTGAAGGAATTTGTGGACTATTTATGCAGACAAAATTTATAAAAAAGTGCGTTATGTCCGATGCACATAACGAACTCTTTACCACTGTAATGAGAATTGTTATATATACAGTATATACTCATTACAGTTATAGACAGATCTGATCTAATCGTAAAAAACTTGTTGTTGAAAACACTGACGAATGTTACAACGAAACCGTGTCTTGAGATTCAATTAAAACCCTTCGTACCTTGTTTGCTGAACTTCGGTTCCCAATACAATTTACACCAACGAGAGAAAATCAGATTACATTTGTTTAATATGACAGAAGCGATGAAGCAGTTGTTTGTTGCTGTCGTGCGCCCGAATCTAGAGTTTGGAAACGTTGTGTGGTCACCGAGATTTGAAAAGGACAGAAATTTACTAGAGAATGTTCAAAGACGTGCAACAACGATAATTCCAGGCTTGAAGGGCAAGTCCTATAAAGAAAGATTGAAGATTATGAAGCTTCCAAGCCTCAGTTATCGACGTCTGCGTGGGGACCTCATTGAAATATACAAGTATACTCATGGTTTATACTAGGTCCCCGAAGGATTACTAGAATTTGAAACAAGAACCAACACCAGGGACCACAGCTATAAAATGAAAAAACTGCGCTGCAACTTCTCCACGCGACAAAATTTCTTCTCGCTTCGAATCACCGACATGTGGAACAGCCTCCCCAATGACATCGTTGGCGCTCCAAGTATGAACGCGTTCAAGAACAGACTAGATAAAGCTATAGAAAAATATATGTTCAGATTTGCAATGCCTAGCACCATATCGAACCCGGTGGAAGTCTAGTAGCTACTTCAAACTATCGTCAGTCATGCAATGATCCGGTCAAATGACACGATTTTAGATCTTCTGTGAACGAGGCACGAAAAGGAAAAGAATCGGCGACAGGCCACATCAGGCCTACACTTCAGCGCCGAGATCACTATGTTATGTTATGTTAATTTAACTCTCCCTCTCAGTTGTCATTGACGAAATTTGAAACAAATTCTCATGAAGTATCGTTTTACATTCATTTCCATTTTCCAGTTATTTTTTCTTTTCAATTCATTTGTTATCATTTCCGTACAAGTTGGTTTTGTATTTCTTGTATAAGCAGACGATGGAGCCTCAGTAATTGACTCGATCAGCAGTACTGGTAGAAAATCTGTTGCTCTGCAAAGGCGGAATAATTTATTATGAATGAGCTTCAATATGCCAAAAAGAAACTTGTTCATGTGAGAAAATCTTGCCAGCAATGAATATAAGATATCTATTACACGATGGGCGCAATGTAGAGTCGTTCTCATTTGAATCCACGCGATTCAAAAAGATGTCGACTAGAACCGCTCGACGTGAATCTTTCGCGAAAAACAACATTTTGATGAGAGACAAAAATGATCTTTGTCTTTGTTAGTCACTCGAGTATTCATACAAGAGACGAGCCCAGCGAGACCGAATCCCATTACATCTGCCACCATGTGTCTACGCTAAAACATCAGCTGTACACGCTAAAACATCTGCTGTCCGTCGCTAATACATTTGCTGTTTCCTCCCCGCTGAAACATCTGCGGTTCACGCTGAAACACCTGAAGTTCATGCTATAATTCTGTCTGAATGTACCCAAGTGTTCGGGAGAGTTGCGTTCAATGGGATAAGATCAAATTTCAAAGCTATCCGTAACTCATGATTTTTTTCACATTTCTTCGTTCCAATACTAGTTCATTTTTTCAGTCTTGTTGATGCAAGGTGAGTCCAACACCAAGCTTAATGATGGATACAAATTCAAATGTTTATTATTTTTTCTTTGCGGTTAGTTCCTTTTAGTTTTATCAATTATTTCCCCTCCTTTTTGCTAATAAGCGAAGCGCCACAATTTCTCATCACAAATTAATAAGACGGGCGACTTTAATAACAAGCGATCACTGGAATGTCAGTCGATACTGAGAATTTATTTACCCATTGAAATATATGTGTAACGTTAGCTATCCAGAATGGAAAACTGCATGGCGTGCAATATTTATTCATTGATTAATTACTTTTCAAAGACTACTGCGAGCCAAATTCTAGTTTACAAAGATTGCAATTATATTTTACGATCTGGTCAGAATAATTTAATATATTTTAGTGTATGTCACACACAACAATTATCATTCGGGTATCGCAGTTACTGTAGAGTTGTCTCAAGTCTGGTTTTACTGGGAGATTAAAACAATCTTTGGTAATGAAAGAAATTATAAAAAGTTGTTCTTTCCTAATTTAATTTAAATAAAAAGCATTACCTAATATTAAAAATCTTTCATTGTCGCAACATGATTCTAAAATTTGATTTGTGCAAATTCGAGTGAGCATGGATTTTTAATATTAAAATGTAAATCAACGTCTCGATTCTAATTCCATCTGTTGGCTAGAATCCCTGTTAGATAATTGAAGCATTACTCACTTCTGGGTGATAGATTAGGTATTACCGCAGGTTCATTAAACCATTAAATATCTGTGACTGAGATATATTACTTTTTAGCTTAGTAAGCTCCACGCACGGGAAGTTCAGGATTGAGAATTCGCGAAGACTATTAATTACCCGACTCTTAATACAATATATATCATGGCATGACAGAAGTTTTTAATTATTTTGTAAATTTTCTAACTGAGTTTTCTAATCGCAAGATTATTTTTCTACCAAAAAACATAAAAATAACTTAATTGAATCAAAGTTAATGTCATGCAGAGGAACCGAGGGATTTTATGCGAATGAATACATTTGTGGGTAATTTATTTCACCTGCCTTTTTAAATTTTGGTAAATCCATACGTGTAGTTAATCGTGGTGTCGCGAACCTCTTAATCGCACGCTGTGTGACTAGGCTGTCTTTAGTCTTTACCATGGTAGTGCGTACCTATTAATCGCAGACGGCGTGACTTGGCTGTCATTACCGTGGTGGTGCCGGGTACATTGTCGTGGCGCACACGCTGCCACAGTTTACACGTGGCTACCACTACACAAAAGCCGTTTGTGATCGTACAATTTTGGTAGTAAGCGTTGTATGCTAAAAACAAGATACTGTGATTCACGACCGTAAACTGAGATGCTTTGCACATTGGACATTGTACGGTGTGACGATCATAACAACGTACCTCATAATCGCGGACTGTGGGACTGGGCTGACTTTACCGTGGAGGTGCGTACCTCATAATATATGACTACAACTTAAGTTAACATAATAAGTTACATAGATGACTGAGCAACACCCGTCACAAATATGATGAATACCACTTTTCAAGTAGGATTAACAAATTCTTTCAAGCAGGATATCTGAAGCATTCGAGTTACAATAATGATTGAAAATTTTTCAATTTTCTCTGTTCTTGATTTAACGATGAAAAAACTAACTAAAAATTTTTAAGTTATTGGATCACAGTGCGCTAATTAAAGATCGCTCTGTCACGTTTTTCACGCGTCATCCGCTTCAAGTTTAATTAATTTTGAAGTTCACTAATTTCATACCATTGTTTGATGTACCATTGCGCCGTCTGGTTGAGTAATTCAAACTCCAGTAACCATCTGACTTTGAATCCGTTCAAACATTTTCATATAAGTGTACGAAATTGATATTCATGAGTTCATTCATGCTTTTGCCCAAAATTTCCCTGAATGAAATACAACCAATTTAATGATTTGCTAGCAAGAAATTTGTTCTTTTAGTACCGCTTTCAGATTTAGTATGTATTCTAGAATACCATCGACTATAGTTTAACAGTTAACTTAATCTACGACCCCTCGTCCACAATCGCACAAATAATCAAGCTAGAGCAACATGCCTACTCTTTAGCGCCGACATCACTTAGCAAAGCTTTCGTTGCCTGTCATTCTTACTTTTAACATTTCGATAATGACTCCTTGAAGGTTCAGATTTTCAATGTTATGGAGGAGATGCTAAAGGGGTTCGCTTCCGAATACATTTGGGGGGTTTGATAATGGGTTCGAAAAGGAGGTTCGACGAACACTCTCACAGGACAAAAGTTTGAAACGCAGTTCGAACAGCAAATATTAAGCGGCGCAGTTGAAAATTACTATGCCCAACATCAAACGTTGCTGTGTACAAACATCAAGCAGAAATTAGTCTTCAGACCCTGAATAATGCAGCTACAGCTCCCACCAAAAATGTGCTGCAACTTCAATAATTCTACTTAATAAAATGACCAATCAAATGAATTATCAGTAATCAGTTATTAAAATGATATAGATATTCCAGTGTGCGAATTATTATGCTCGTGCACAATTATTATATTAACGTGTCAAGTCTCATCCAAAGGAATTTGAATAAATTGAAGTTCTATAAATTCAACAAACGGCTATATAACGATCCCCCAACTCATAAGATATAAAAAAGTTGCATGATCTACTCTATTGCATAACAGCAAGTTGTACTTGAGCTTGTATGACGGCAATCAAAAAAGTATTGGATTTTGGTCAAAAAAATCACTTCTAAATTCAGAGATCCGAAAAGAGAACCAAATCTAACACTTTCTGGTCGTAAATTCACATTTTATTAATTAGGGATGGAATGATATGCTTTTCGTCTTAAGATGCAAGTACGTCGCACAAAGGGAATGGAAGACCTTAAAAATGTACGTGTTTCGTAGCCTTGAAATGCAGGCGTTCTTTAAAGAACACACGCAAAGCATGCGTTATTTGACGATCTCGCGCAATGCAAGCGCGTTGAAGTAGTACGAGCAATTTCCTCTCTTTCGGGTATACGTATCGCTTTGGGGTATACTATCGTGATACATTGGGGTATACGTATCAAAATTTTGAGGGTGGTTAGCTTTTGAATTAAAGACGCCTTTAGCTAGCCCAGCGCATAAATTAGAGGCACTACCCTAACAAAATTCGGGGACAGCCTAGGGTTCGGCCGAATAGTTGTTAAACTCGGCGCCTATTCATTCTGGGTCTGCTTGGCCATGATCGATCCGAATCATTTTCGGGTCAGAATATCTCCTTTCCGACTTTATAGTCGCCTCAGAGTATGAGGAGAGTAGGCCGAGCCAAGTCATACCTAGCTGGCAAGCTGGCCAGAGGCTGCCCTTCGAAACCTGAGCCGAAGAGGACATAGAGAAGCTGATTTACGTGCGGTCCGAGTCCTAGGCGGTTCCTAATTCAGGGTCGCCACCAACTAAAAATTTTGATAATGCATGTCCGCTTTACGCTCTAGTTGTACGAGCAAATTAAGCGTCGATCAGAATTCGGTCACATACCGAGCGAGTTTGGGGCGATCGTGGGACGCGCGTATTTGACACCTGATAGCTTCGGCATGGACACGGCCGAATCGGAAAAGTGCGTT